GCCTCCCAAGTAGTTGGGATTACAGGCACATGCTACCACACCTGGCTAATATTTTAATTTTTTTGTAGATATGAGGTCTCGCTATGTTGCCAGGGCTGGTCTTGAACTGGCTCAAGTGATTCTCTCACCTTAGCCTCTCAAAGTGCTAGGATTACTGGTGTGAGCCACCACCGTTGACTAGGTTAAGATCCTTTAGGGGTATAGGGTAGAAACCCACCTAGTAGTTAAACCAGAGGCAATCCAGGGATGTCTCAGAACTTATAAGTACATACAGCTAGGATCAGAAATCTAATGACCCAGCCTTAGATTTATCTATATGTAAAATTGCTATAGGATAGGTACCTCTTACTTTTACTAGAAATTACCAAATTATTCTCCCGGTAGTTGTTCCAGTTTACATGCCTTACCAGCAGTATATGTTGATTCTTGATGGGCACGGTGGCTCATGCCTGTAATCCCAGCACTTTGGGAGGCTGAGACAGGTAGATCACTTGAGGTCAGGAGTTTGAGACCAGCCTGGACAACATAGTGAAACCCATCTTTACTAAAAATATAAAAATTAGTGAGGCCTAGTGGCACGTGCCTGTAGTCCCAGCTACTTGGGAGACTGAGGCAGGAGAATTGCTTGAACCCAGTAGGTGGAGGTTGCAATAAGCCGAGATCACGCCACTGCATTCCAGCCTAGGTGGGCGACAGAGTAAGATTCCATCTCAAAAACAAAAAAGAACAGTATATGTTGGTTCTTATTTATTTCTCTGCATCCTGGATACCACTTGGCATTATCTGAGTTCAAGTTTTTGCCATTCTGGTATGTACGAAGTAGTATTTTATTGAATTTAATTTTCACTTTCCTGTCTGTTTAGTGAAGGTAATGTCTTCCTACTTTTCTATCATAGCACCCTGTTTGTTTCTTTTATAGCACCTATCACAAGCTATTATTATGGGTGGGTTTGTTTCTGTGTTTACTGTCTGCCTCCCTATCTAGAACGTAATCTCTGTGAAGGCTGGGATCACATTTCTCAGGTTTACTGTTTTTTTATTTTTCCCCAAAATAAAAGGGCCATTTATTGAAGAGAACAATTTACTGTCTCTTCACAATGAACAGCATTATCTCTATTATTAGCAGCAATGTAATACCACCTCATTCTTATTATGTATTACAATCATTATGTTTATGTGAATACATATATAAAATACAGACACTGCATGATGACTAAGCAATTTTGGAATAAATCTATAGACTAAGTCACAGCATGCATAATTGTTTATATCTTAACTGCTCATTTATACCCCAACAGATTTTCATTAGGCATGGTGCTAATTTTCAAATGATGTAATAAAAAATCTGGTGGCAGTACTATATTATTTTGCTGACTTACATTTGAGAAAAAAGAAGCTACCTGCTTCATCTATTTTAATATGGTATATCCTGAATCTTATGAGAATACATGTGTAGAAACTTAAAAGATCATACATTTCTCATGAGGAGACATTATTTGATCTGTGTCACTAGAGTGTATTTGCAAAACATTTTAACACTGCAAACATTAGAAATTTGAAGACTGGGCATGGGAAAAGGTTTATTTTCTACTGCAATGATGCTGGAACACTTCTACGAAAGGCCTCTTAGTCATGTCAGTCAGTTGGAGGTAGGACTTTTTCAATGAATTGCTTCACATCCATCATTTCCTGTTGACACGAACTGTGCATCATACCTTCATAGGTTTTAAAGGTCACATTGGCTGGATTCACCAATGTTTTTAGTTTTTCAACCGTAAGAGAGCCAAACATCAGGGGAACTAAAGGGTCACAATCTCCGTGGCACTGAAGAATATAAATATCTCTATTGGTGCCACTGATAGGCCCCTGTGGAAATGATGCCCGAAGTGGAAGCCAGCAACTGAGTGCAGTGACACCCGCCAGTTTCTGCTGCATGATAAGGGCAGTATATAAAGATAAAGCTCCTCCCTGAGAAAATCCTCCCAAAATAATTCTCTTTGAAGGAATGCCATTCTTCACTTCTTGATCCATCAAAGTTTATGTTTTCTGCGGCCTGTTTAATCCCAGGTTCATCCTCCTGTGAATCTGGTGAAAGCCCAATAATATCAAACCATGAAGGCATAATCATGTTCATATTTAATGTGATATTAATGTTAATATTTAATATAAACTAATGAAGGCATAACAGGTGCATGCGGGCAGATATATTTGATATGTGGACTTCTGATACCTGCAAAGTCTTCTGACCATCCGTGCCCAGTATCTCCCAATCCGTGAAGGAAAATCATCGCGACGGTAGCCTTCCGGGCAGCGGGGACGACGGCGGGCAGCTGGGCTTACATGTTATTGCCGCGCGTACATCGGCTCAGCTCACACAGCAAGCGGAAGGAAGAACAGGCGCCTGGCCCTAGCCCAAGGGCGTGCAAGCTGCGAGTTGCGGCCGGCCCCACCGGGCGCACGCTCAGGAGCGGCGCGCTTTCTTCTGCTGGCTCCGCGCGCAGCCCCGCGTCCACTCAGGTTTACTGTTTATTCCCAGCTCAGTACAGTCTGGTATGGAGTGGCATCCAACAGATATTTAATGAATGAACCAAGGTCCAGAAGTGGGTCATTTAATAAGTCTGACGTTATTGTAAGAGAAATACAGAAATAGAAAGTTATTTATCTTCCTCCTATCCAAACCTTACACTTTCTTTTTTTTTTTTTGAGATTGAGTCTCGCTCTTTTGCCCAGGCTGGAGTGCAGTATCTCAGCTCACTGCAACCTCCACCTCCTGGATTCAAGTGATTCTTCCGCCTCAGCCTCCTGAGTAGCTGGGATTACAGGCAGCCACCATCATACCTGGCTAATTTTTGTAGAGAGAGGGTTTCATAATGTTTGCCAGGGTAGTCTTAAACTACTGACTTTAGGTGATCTGCCCACCTCGGGCTCCCAAAGTGCTGGGATTGAGCCATAGCACCTGGCCTATACTTTATTTCATAGCCAGTTCATAGTACCTGACTATAGTCTTCATTTCTTTTGTTCATTTTTCAAGGCTTTGAATAGACTTGACTAGGAGGTATTAGTAATAGAGAATAACAAAAATATGTTATTCCAACACATGGATTGATTTGGTAGGAATGGCTATCAGCTCCAGCCTAGGGCCTGTAATTTGAGATATCCTGATGTCCAATTAGTCCAAGTAGTTGCTCTGTGGCCCACATCAGAGAAGATAACAAAGCTCTGATAAAGTTCATTACTAGATAGGAAATTAAACTGAAAACCCTTTGCCATTTTTGGGATTCTCATTGACAGAATTATTCTTGTCTTACCTAATATAAGATTCTCTGAGATAGATAATAGGCAGCTTCATCAGCAGAAATTTAGTAGGCTAGGTGTGGTAATTTTTTTATTTTTGAGAAATGTAAAACTTGAGAACAACTAGAATAAATCTCAGTTAACTTTTCTGCAGTCCCTTTTTTTCCCACCCAACCACTCTTAGTGTGGCATTTACTCTCAGCAGCTCAGTGCATCCTTTGTCGGCTTTATTCAGTTCCTGAGCTTTGCTCTGGCTGCATCCTTAACTCACTGGCTTGGTTAAGATCTTTTGGGAGTATAGGGTACAAACTCACCCAATATAGCTTAAACCAGAGGCAATCCAGGGATGTCTCAGAACTTACAAGTACACACAGCTAGAAATCAAGAGTAGTGGAAATGCCTATTAAAAGCTCACAAGTTGATTCCTCTTTTCAAGAGAAGAACCAACCTGAAGTTGGAATCTCTTAGTTCCAATTACAAATACCTAGGGAAAGATGCCATCCCACCATGGGCCAGATGCCTCCCTGACTCCAATAAGCTGTGGCCATAAGATTATGTTCTACAAACATGGTAGCCAAGACCCACCCCTGTAACGTGTGGATGACGCAGAAGGGCAGCTCTCAGGGAAGAAGAAATCCTAGGCAGATATACCCATAGGTGTCTAGTGAAATTATCTACTGAAAGCTGAACATGTGTGCAGAAGCGCTGAAGCCTCTGACTTTTTACCCAGCAACTTCTTTATATCTTCCATTTTCTTTTTTCCCCTCAATTCCTACCCAGCTCCTTACCCAATTTGCTGATTTCTTTTCTGTAGCCAATTGTGAATGTATTCTCAACAGATCCCTGGGCTTGTAAGTGAGCTTTGGAGATAACAAGGTGTGTTTTGCTCCCTATTTATTTTTCTGGAAGAATTGGAAAGTAGGAATATTATGTATGCTATAGCATCTCTCTAGTATTCATTTATTTTATTTTTATTTTTTGAGACGAAATCTTGCACTGTCACCGGGCTGGAGTGCAGTAGTACGATCTTGGCTCACTGCAACCACTGCCTCCTGGGTTCAAGTGATTCTCCAGCCTCAGCCCCCGGAGTAGCTGGGATTATGTACATGTGCCACCACGCCTGGCTGGTTTTATTTATTTATTTATTTATTTATTTATTTTTGAGACGGAGTTTTGCTCTTGTTACGCAGGCTGGAGTGCAATGGCGCGATCTCGGCTCACCGCAACCTCCGCCTCCTGGGTTCAGGCAATTCTCCTGCCTCAGCCTCCTGAGTAGCTGGGATTACAGGCACGCGCCACCATGCCCAGCTAATTTTTTGTATTTTTAGTAGAGACGGGGTTTCACCATGTTGACCAGGATGGTCTCGATCTCTCGACCTCGTGATCCACCCGCCTCAGCCTCCCAAAGTGCTGGGATTACAGGCTTGAGCCACCGCGCCCTGCCAGTTTTATATTTTTAATAAGGACAGGGTTTGACCATGTTGGCCAGGCTGATCTCCAAGTCCTGACCTCAAGTGATTCGCCCACCTCGGCCTCTCAAAAGTGCTGGGATTACAGTTGTGGGCTACTGCGCCCAGCCACATGTAGTTTATAAATGTGTCCTGCCCAAGCTCGTGGGAAATGGTGGTAAAGCAGGTATTGTGAAACTTTTACAACCTGGGAAGTTCGTTCTGCTTTTTCTGAGATATTTTATTGTCTTGTTACAGGAACACGACATAGAAACAACTCATGGTGTGGTCCACGTCACTATAAGAGGCTTACCCAAAGGAAACAGACCAGTTATACTAACATATCATGACATTGGCCTCAACCGTATGTATTTTATTTTACACCTTCCCTTCTTATCATACTTAAACTTTGTATATTAAAAAACAAATGACAATGATATTCTAATAGAGCAGAGGTTTTCCCCTCTCTGTGGTAACCTTCTTTCCTTGTTCCTACATTTGTTAATGGTATAAAGTTCCTGGGAAATGTGCAAGGGAATGTGTTTTGGGGATACTGGAGTCATATCTTGCTATCATGTCTGTTGAAGGATTGAAGATTATACAATGAATTGATTAAGAAAGTAGAACTGAAATCCATGTTTTCAAGCCTGTACTTTGTTTTTTTTAATGTTTCAAATTAGAAAATTCAGAGTTGGAACTTAACTTTGTTGTGAGCTCTTCAATGAATTAGTAGAAGAATTCTTGCTAGAGCTTGTCACCAGTGACTTTAAGTGTACTTTTCTAGATGGTAGTGTAAGATTCTGGCTCCAGCCATAGACACACAGAGTCTACATACATATGCTTTCATAGATGGCTTGCATTTGAGGCTGCAGTTGAGTGTTAAAGCTTTTGTAGCTGCCTTAGCATGAGAAGTGATTTAAGCAGGTATAAGAAGGGGTAGAAGTGTAAGCCGCAGCCCCTTCCTTCACCTGGCAATTTTGCCAGGAGACAAACTCCCATGTGGTGAATGTGAGTAGTTCAGGGCATTCACTCTACCTATGCTTTTGGGGTATAATCAGTGTCTCTTTGTGTGATAGAAGAATAATGTGCATGAGAAATGACAGCATTATGGGTGTAAGATTATTTTTTGCAGTAATTGGAAACCACCAGACATTAACAAAGTAGTTTCTACTTTGCAGACTTTGTACTTTGCAGACTTTGTTTAGAATTGAGAATTGTTTTCAGTATGTATCTCAATATGAGATGTCTTTTTTTTTTTTTTTGAGACGGAGTTTCACTCTTGTTATCCAGGCTGGAGTGCAATGGCGCGATCTCGGCTCACCGCAACCTCCGCCTCCTGGGTTCAAGCAATTCTCCTACCTCAGCCTCCTGAGTAGCTGGGATTACAGGCACGTGCCACCATGCCCAGCTAATTTTTTGTATTTTTAGTAGAGACGGGGTTTCACCACGTTGACCAGGATGGTCTTGATCTCTTGACCTTGTGATCCACCCACCTCGGCCTCCCAAAGTGCTGAGATTACAGGCTAGAGCCGCTGCGCCCAGCCTTTTTTTTTTTTTTTTTTTTGCGATGGAGTTTTGCTCTTTTTGCTCAGGCTGGAGTGCAATGGCACGATCTTGGCTCACCACAACCTCCACTTCCTGGGTTCAAGCGATTCTCCTGCCTCAGCCTCCTGAGTAGCTGGAATTACAGGTGTGTGCCACCACACCCAGATATTTTTGTATTTTTAGTATAGATGGGGTAAGACTATACTTCCAGGGATCATTTCTATAGTTTGTTACAAGATGAGCTTTCTCCGTGTTGGTCAGGCTAGTCTTGAACTCCTGACCTCAGGTGATCTGCCTGTCTCAGTCTCCCAAAGTGCTGGGATTACAGGTATGAGCCACCGTGCCTGGCTGAGATGTCTTATATTCAGCCTTAGGGCAGCTTGAATCAGACAGATTGTTCAGATACCTTACTTTGGTGGAATGGTGATTAAAAAGTAGTGAAAGAAGGCAATGATAGGCATTGACTGAGTAGAGGAAAACTGGGGAGAAATGGAGAGCCTGTGACTTATGGGTATTTTTACTCTTATAGATAAATCCTGTTTCAATGCATTCTTTAACTTTGAGGATATGCAAGAGATCACCCAACACTTTGCTGTCTGTCATGTGGATGCTCCAGGCCAGCAGGAAGGTGCACCCTCTTTCCCCACAGGGTAAGACCACGAAAAGATCCTCTGGGAGACATGCACTCAGAAGAGCAACTGGCTGAGCTCCAATGGGAGAAGTGGTGTGTGCTTCCCTTTGGTTTTATTACAGTCTATAGGATATGTTTATCAACCAGCCATCCTCATGTTTTCTCTCCTTGGGTTGAGAGGACTGTAATGTATAGTCTTTTCGGGGAAACTGTATGTTTTCCCATATCCAGGAATGGCTCTCCATAGCAAGTGCCCGCTTTCCTGTAATCCCAAGGCATGTCTGGAACACCTACTTCTCACTGTCTTTATCTGTTCCCTTCCTCATCTATTTGAAATCTGTCATTTTTTAGCAAGGCGTGGTCACTCACACCTATAATCTCAGCACTTTGGGAGGCCAAGGCAGGAGGATTGCTTGAGCCCCAGAGTTCAAGACCAGCCTGGATAACATAGGAAGCCCTTGTCTCTAACAAAAATTTAAAAATTAGCTGGCCAGGCATGGTGGCATTCACCTTTGGTCCCATTTACTTGGGAGGCTGTGGCGGGAGGATCACTTGACCCCAGGAGATTGAGGCTGCAGTGCCTGGGTGAAGACCCTGTCTCCAAAAAGAAAACAAGTAAACAAAAAACTGTCATTTTTGTGTCCTTCCTTGAAACTCCCAGCTACCTAGGCCCAAACTCACATCCCTCTGAGCTTTCCTGGGAGCATCTCCCCATCCTTAACTCTCAGTCTAGTAATGGAAATTTGACCATCTGTGTAACTGTTTATTCTTAGAGGCTGGCCTGGCAGAAAGAGGTGTGGGCTAATTGATTAGCTTTGGCACTCAGCTTCCTCCTGTGTCTGCTTTGCAGGGCAGAGTTACAGGCTCCATACCTGTTTGTTCCCTGGATGGTGTGCTTATTGAGAAGACCTTAGGTGGAGTAAGAGCACACTCTGTGGAATGCTAATTCTTCCCCTCCTTTCACTCATCTCCAGAGCTGCCTTTGGCCACTGACTGCTGGGAAATAGACAATTGCAGGCAAATAATAGCTAACACTTAAATAGTATTCAAACCATGTTCCAGACACTGCTTTAAATGCTTTACATTGTTAACTCATTTACTCCTCACAACCCTATGGGATAAATTTACTATTATTCCCATTTTATAAGTGAGGAAACTGAGGCCCAGAAAAATTAAGTAACATGGCTAACATTACGTAACACATAAGTAGCAGAGCTAAGATTTGAACCCAGACAGCCTGTTGCCAGAATCTGTGCAGTTCTACCTTTGAAATGCAAATTGGCCATTGGTCAGTTTATATCCAACAAGATTTGGATCCAGTTCCTTTTTTCTATTTTGTGCACAAATGGTTCCACAGCATACCATCCCTTAAGTGTTCAAGCAGAGGCAGGCTGACTTCCCTGAGAGATAACAGATCCTGCCTCATATATAAGTCATTGTCTTATGATCAATTCCATCTTCAATTCTCTAATCCCTTTTTTTTTTTTTTTTTTTTTTGAGATAGGGTATCGCTCTGTTTCCCAGGCTGGAGTATAGTAGTGTGATCATGGCTCACTGCAGGGGCTCAACCGCCTGGGTTCAAGTGATCTTCCCATGTCAGCCTCCCTACAAGTATGTGCCAACACGCCTGGCTAAGTTTTGTATTTTCTGTAGAGACAGACTTTTGCCCTGTAGCCCAGGGTGGACTCAATCTCCTGGGCTCGAGTAATCTGCCTGCCTCAGCCTCCCAAAGTGCTGGGATTTACAGGCATGAACCAACGCTCACAGCTGCTTACTACGTTTCTAGGATTTCAGATCTGGGTCTGTTCCTGGGCTTGCTCAAACATCTTAGAATCGGATGGTTCATACTAGGAATGAAATTCAAAAACAATAAAATAACCATGCCAGACACAGTGGCTCACACCTATAGTTCTAGCACTTTGTTAGGCCGAGAAAGGAGGATCACCCGAGGCCAGGGGTTCAAGACCAGTCCTAGCAACATAGCGAGACTCCCTCTCTGCAAAAAATTGAAAAATTAGCCAGGCATGGTGGCATACACCTGTAGTCCTAGCTACTCTGGATACTGAGGCAGGAGGATAGCTTGAGCCCAGGAGTTCAGTGAGCTGTGAATGCACCACTGCTCTCCAGCCTGGGTGACAGAGTGAGACCCTGTCTCTTAAGAAATTATTAATAATAATTAATTTAGGCTGGGTGCGGTGGCTCACGCTTATAATCCCAGCATTTTGGAAGGCTGAAGCTGGCGGATCACAAGGTCAGGAGATCAAGACCATCCTGGTGATACCCTATCTCTACTAAAAATATAAAAATTAGCTGGGCTTGGTGGCGTGTGCTTGTAATCCCAGCTACTCAGGAGGCTGAGGCAGGAGAATTGCTTGAACCCAGAAGGTGGAGGTTGCAGTGAGCTGATATCAACGTCACTGCATTCCAGCCTGACAACAGAGAAAGACTCTGTCTCAAAAAATAATAATAATAAATTTTTTGGCCGGGCGCAGTGGCTCAAGCCTGTAATCCCAGCACTTTGGGAGGCTGAGGCAGGTGGATCACGAGGTCAAGAGATCAAGACCATCCTGGTCAACATGGTGAAATCCCGTCTCTACTAAAAATACAAAAAATTAGCTGGGCATGGTGGCGCGTGCCTGTAATCCCAGCTACTCAGGAGGCTGAGGCAGGAGAATTGCCTGAACCCAGCAGGCGGAGGTTGCAGTGAGCCGAGATTGTGCCATTGCACTCCAGCCTGGGTAACAAGAGTGAAACTCTGTCTCAAAAAATAATAATAATAATAAATTTTTAAAAACAACTGTTATTTTATGCCTAAGTGAAACAAGTAAGCATTCATGCTAAAGATTCGTAATTGTGTGCCTATACCTAGAAAAGCTATGTTTATTTTTGCATTTAGTTGCCTAAATATAAGCAGTAGACCAAGAGCCACTTCCTGAGTTGACTCTTACTACTGGAGGTTTACTGAGCCAACTCCAACTGAAGAGATTATTAGAGGTTTGGAAATACCCTAAGAGAGAACCATATTACTAGTTCTTTTCATGTGGCACCCTCTGGTCTCAAGGGCTGCTCGTTAGGATATAGACACTGGATTCTTTTACTTTCTCCTTAGCATGGCAGTTGTAGAGAGTTACACAATGTACCACAATCATTTTCAGGTACCACATCACCTCCTTTGAGCCTTTGGTAAAAGGAAATGCTTTTATCTAAGACTTCTTTTTTTTTTTTTTTTTTTTTTGAGACGGAGTTTCGCGCTTGTTACCCAGGCTGGAGTGCAATGGCACGATCTCGGCTCACCGCAGCCTCCGCCTCCTGGGCTCAGGCAATTCTCCTGCCTCAGCCTCCTGAGTAGCTGGGATTACAGGCATGCGCCACCATGCCCAGCTAATTTTTTGTATTTTTAGTAGAGACGGGGTTTCACCATGTTGACCAGGATGGTCTCGATCTCTCGACCTCGTGATCCACCCGCCTCGGCCTCCCAAAGTGCTGGGATTACAGGCTTGAGCCACCACGCCCGGCCTTTTTTTTTTTTTTTTTTGAGACAGAGTTTCATTCTTGTTGCCTAGGCTGGAGTACAGTAGTGTGATCTTGGCTCACTGCAACCTCTGCTTTCTGGGTTCAAACAATTCTCCTGCCTCAGCCTCCCGAGTAGCTGGGATTACAGGCATGCACCACCACACCTGGCTAATTTTGTATTTATAGTAGAGATGGGGTTACTCTATGTTGGTCAGGCTGGTCTCGAACTCCCGACCTCAGGTGATCCGTCCGCCTCGGCCTCCCAAAGTACTGGGATTACAGGCATGAGGCACCACACTTGGCCTTTTATCTAAGCCTTCTGTACCTTTCCAACTGTTGTCGTAACTGGAAATTGTGAGTGCTTTCTAATTCAGGAGATATGCTTCTGGATTTCAGGTATCAGTACCCCACAATGGATGAGCTGGCTGAAATGCTGCCTCCTGTTCTTACTCACTTAAGGTAGGTTCATTCTGTAGTCTTTCATGCAGTTTGTATTTTCTGTGGTGAATTCTTTAGTATCTGTTTCAGAGGTTACAATGGTTAGCAAAACAGTAGTCACTCTCCTCCTTAGAGGAGCTTAGTGGGGTAACAAGCAGACAAATAATTAAGTTCTATAAGTCAGTGGGGGTGTTGTGACAGAGAATAAGGGTGGAATCTACCTCAGTAAGGCTAATTAGGGAATTCTCCTTTAGGAAGGTGGCACATACGCTGAGACCTGGAAGATTATAAAAAGCCACCTTGAGCTGGGCCCCGTGGCGGGACTTAACACCAGGAGTTTGAGGCTACAGTGAGCTGTGATTCCACCATTGTACTTCAGCCTGAGTAACAGTGACACCCTGTATCTAAAAAATAAAAATAAAGCTTTTTAAAATTTTTTGAAAAGGTTCATCTCACTGTGAAGAGAATGGTTTGGAGAGGAGTAAGAGAAAGCAAGGAGAACAGTTAAACTTTATTAACAATGGTCTGGGCAAGAGATAATAATAGCATAGTACAACTAGATACTGTTGGGGGATGACTGAAGTAGATACTAGTAGATAGATGGATATATTCTCCACTGATTTGCTGATGGGTTGGATACTGACATTAAGCTGCCAAGAATAACTCTCAGGTTTCAGTCACATATGTATGTATGTGTGTGTGTGTATATATATATATAGTTTTGTTTTGCTTTGAGTTAGAGTCTTACTCTTGCCTAGGCTGAAGTGCAATGGCATGATCTTGGCTCACTGCAACCTCTGACTCCCAGATTCAAACAATTCTCCTGCTTCAGCCTCTCGTTTAGCTGGGATTACAGGCGCAGGCCACCACACCTGGCTAATTTTTTTGTGTGTATTTTTAGTAGAGATGGGGTTTCACCACATTGGCCAGGCTGGTTCCAAATTCCTGACCTTCAGTGATCCTCCTGCCTTGGTGTCCCAAAGTTCTGGGATTACAGGTGTGAGCCACCATGCCTGGCCTCAGTTATATTTTATTTAACCATTAAAACCAACTTGAAAGTAGGTGGTGGGATCCTTCTTGGTTTTTTTCTATTTTTGTTTGTTTTTTGAAGGCAGATTCTCACTCTGTCACCAGGCTTGAGATCAGTGGCACGATCTCAGCTCACTGTAACCTCTGCCTCCCAAGTTCAAGTGATTCTCCTGCCTCAGCCTCCCGAATAGCTGGGACTACTGGCACGCCTCACCATGCCCGGCTGATTTTTTGTATTTTACTAGAGATGGGGTTTCACCATGTTGGCCATGATGGTCTCAATCTCCAGACCTTGTGATCCACCTGCCTTGGCCTCCCAAAATGCTGGGAATTAGGCGTGAGCCACCACACCTGTCCGGGATCCTTGTTTTACAGATAAGGAACTGAAGCTCAGAAAGTTAGGGGAAAGAAAAAAACTTGCCCAAATTCTCACATCTAATAAATATCAGAGCCAGGATTTCAACCCAGGTTTGTATGCTTTCAGTTAAGCAATGCTGCCTCTAAATGAAGTTGACTCTGTCAGTTGTCCTTATGTGTCATTCACAGCCTGAAAAGCATCATTGGAATTGGAGTTGGAGCTGGAGCTTACATCCTCAGCAGATTTGCAGTAAGTATGCAGAGGATTAACGTCAACATCTTTGAGGCAATGTCTGGGTCACAGCTATTATTGCTGTGTCAAACAACCAGGCAGTATTCTGGGCCTTATTTTAGTTTTTCTGTAACTTCTGTCAGCTTTAGATATAGGTTGTATAAAGCCTGCTTTGTACTTACAATACCTGAAAAATCACAAATGGGGGCAGTATGTCATCAGTAAAAAGCAAGTCCAAGATACTGCTTATAATGGAATTTTATACAGCCATTAAAGTTAAGTTTATGAAAAGCTTTATAATGATACATGGTTTACATACATTATAATGTTAACCAAAAAAGTTATAATATAGGTTCACATAAAGTATGTCATAGCCATAGGAAAGGACTGGAAGAAAATATACCAGAAAGTATTAATGGATTGATAATGTGGTAAGATAATATGAAATTTTGGCCAGGCACCATGGCTCACGCCTGTAATCCCAGCACTTTGGGAGGCGGAGGTGTGTGGATCACCTGAGGTCAGGAGTTTGAGACCAGCCTGACCAAATGGAGAAACTCCGTCTCTACTAAAAATACAAAATTAGCCAGGCATTGTGGCGCATGCCTGTAATCCCAGCTATTTGGGAAGCTGAGGCAGCAGAATTGCTTGAACCTGGGAGGCGGAGGTTGCAGTGAGTCAGGATTGTGTCATTGCACTCCAGCCTGGGCAACAAGAGTGAAACTCTGTCTCAAAAAAAAAAAAAAAAAGAATATGAAATTTTATTTTCTGCTTTTTGTTATTTCTCGGCTTACCAAATTTTCTACAGTGAATGTAATCACGGTAGTAAGAGAAAAAAAGTGAGCTAGATAATTCAAGGAGATGTTGAAGAAAAAAAAGGTAACCTAGGGGCCTGGTGTGATGGCTCACACCTTTAATCCTGGCACTTTAGGAGGCTGATGCGGGCAGATATCCTGAGGTTGGGAGTTCAAGACCAGCCTGGCCAACATGGTGAAACCCCATCTCCACTAAAAATACAAAAATTAGCCAGGTGTGGTGGCAGGTGCCTATAATCTCAGCTACTCGGGAGGCAGAGGCAGGAGAATTGCATGAACCCTGGAGGTGGGGGTTGCAGTGAGCCGAGATTTCACCATTGCACTCAAGCCTGGGCAACAAGAGTGAAACTCTGTCTCAAAAACAAAAAAGAAATTAAATTAAAAAAAAAAATAAGCTAGAGAGTTTTGAGATCACGTTGAAATGCTCCTATTAAAGAAAAAAAAAAATTTTTTTGAGGCAGTCTTGCTCTGTTGCCCAAGCTAGAGTGCAGTGGTGTGATATCGGATCACCGGAACCTCTGCCTCCTGAGTTCAAGCGATTCTCCTCAGTCTCCCGAGTAGCTGGGATTGCAGATATGCACCCCTGCGCCCGGCTAATTTTTGTATTTTTAATAGAAGTGGGGTTTCACCATGTTGGTCAGGCTGGTGTCAAACTCCTGACCTTGTGATCCACTTGCCTTGTCCTCCCAAAGTGCTGGGATTACAGGCATGACCCACTGCGCCAGGACAGAAGTTATTATTATTATTTTTTAAATACCTCCTCAGTGATAGGAAAGTCTTCTGGGGATGATATAAACTGTTCAGGTGGTTTCAGGAAAAAAAAAAAAAAAAAACTTTAGAAGCCCCTGTTGAGAACAAAGATAAATGAGTATGGAGCAGCCCCTTGTGCCAAGGGTACTTTCCCAATGAGGAAGATCTACCATGAGTTGAACAACTGCATATAGGTCTTTGCAAAGCAAGATAATTTGATAGTAAAATAAGTAATTTGATTGTAAAACTAGAAAGTGGTTTCTAGATGCTAAATCCAGAAAGAGCTATTTTTTCACAGATTCTCCCTGTTTGTAGTCTTAACTTTCAAATGTGAGGCATTAAGGCATGTAAGTAAGAATTGATCAACCATGTTCCAACTGTTTAGAAGAACTGTGGGAGTGTAGCTTTCATACTATTGTGTTTGCCTCATCTTTCAGCTCAATCATCCAGAATTTGTGGAAGGCCTGGTGCTCATTAATATCGACCCTTGCGCTAAAGGCTGGATTGACTGGGCAGCTTCCAAAGTAAGTACCACATGAAGGTGTTTATCAGCTTTTCTTCGTCCCTCTCAAAACAGCTTACCTATTTTTCATTGAGGTATATATACAGGTAAGGATAAAAATGTTAAGTATGTAGCTTGAAGAATGTTTACAGACATAATCACCATCCAATCAAAATATGGAATGTTCCCAGCTCACTTGGGGATTCCCTCGTATCTTTTCCTAATTGATACTTCCTTTCCTTCCCAGAAATAAACTATTCTGACTTTTGTCACTGACTTTTATCTGTTTTTAAAGACTTTTATCTGTTAAATTGGAATCATAGAAAATATATTCTTTTCTGTCTGGTTTCTTTCATTCATCACAGTGTCTGTGAGACTCATCCAAATTATGTGTAGCAGTAGTTCTAAATTACAATTTGGCTGGGTGCGGTGGCTCACACCTGTAATACCAGCATGTTGGGAGGCTGAGGCGGGCAGATCACCTGAAGTCAGGAGTTTGAGACCAGCCTGGCCAACATGGTAAAACCCCATCTCTACTAACAATACAAAAATTAGCCAGGAAAGGTGGTGGGCACCTGTAATCCCAGCTACTTGGGGTGGAGACGGGAGAATCACTTGAACCTGGGAGGTGGAGATTGCAATGACCTGAGATTGCGCCATTGCACTCCAGCCTGGATGACAAGAGTGAAACTCTGTCTCAAAAAATAATAATAATTTGAGGCTGGGCGCAGTGGCTCAAGCCTGTAATCCCAGCACTTTGGGAGGCTGAGGCGGGCAGATTACAAGGTCAAGAGATTGAGACCATCCTGGTCAACATGGTGAAACCCCGTCTCTATTAAAAATACAAAAAATTAGCTGGGCATAGTGGGGCGTGCCTGTAATCCCAGCTACTCAGGAGGCTGAGGCAGGAGAATTGCCTGAACCCAGGAGGCAGAGGTTGCGGTGAGCCGAGATCACGCCATTGCACTCCAGCCTGGGTAACGAGTGAAACTCCGTCTCAAATAAATAAATAAATAAATAAATAAATAAATAAATAAATAAATTAACCTTAGTTCCAAATTGTTGTTTAGTAACCTATTGTGTGAATACACAGAATGAGTTGTTTCTGTTATTTGGATCTTATGAGTAAAGCTGCCGTGCATATTCCCTATGTCTTTCAGTAGACATACACATTTGTTCCTCTTGGGTTTATACCTATGAGTGAAATTGCTGGGTCATAGGACAGTTGTCTAGTTTTTTGTTTGTTTTTTTGTGTTTTTTTTTGAGACGGAGTCTCACTCTGTCGCCCAGGTTGGAGTGTAGTGGTGTGATCTCAGCTCACTGCAACCTCCGCCTCCTGGGTTCAGGCAATTCTTCTCCCTCAGCCTCATGAGTAGCTGGAACTACAGGTACGTTCCACCACGCCCAGCTAATTTTTTTTGTATTTTTTTAGTAGAGATGGGGTTTCATCATGTTGGCCAGGCTGGTCTTGCACTCCTGACCTCGTGATCCACCCACCTCGGCCTACCAAAGTGTTGGAATTACAGGCATGAGCCACTGCGCCTGGTCAGGGCAGTTGTATGTTTAGCTTTAGTAGATACTGTCAGTTTTCCAAAGTATTTGACCAAGATCAGGCATGGTAGCTCACACCTGTAATTCTAGCACTTTGGGAGGGTGAGTCAGTAGGATCACCTGAGGTCAGGAGTTCAAGACTAACCTGGCCAACATGGCAAAACCCTGTCTCTACTAAAAATAGGAAAATTAGCTGGGGTGTGAGGGCATGGTGGTATACATCTGTAATCCCAGCTACTCAGGAGGCTGAGGCAGGATAACTGCTTGAACCCAGGAGGTGGAGGTTGCAGTGACCCAAGATCATGCCACTGCATGCCAGCTTGGGCAACAGAGTAAGACTCCTTGTCTCAAAAAATAAATAAATAAATAAAATAAAATAAACTGTTTTCAGAGTATCTGACCATTTACACACCAGCAGTGTGTGAAAGTTCCAGTCGCTCCACATCGTCACCAACATTTGATATTACAAGTACTTTTAATTTTAGTAAAAGACGAGCAGTTTTAATATTTTAATATACTTTATTTTTACGTTTTCTATCACCAAAATAGCTTTAGTCATTAAAATAAGAATTTTTAATTATATCATCTTTTAAATTTCAAGCTATGCTATAGGTAGATAATCCTGGGTTTTAATTTATATCTCCCAAAGGGTAAGTGATATCAGACTTATTTTCTTGAATATCCTCTTGTGAAGTGCTTGTTTAAGTCTTTTGCTCTCACCCTCATTCCCCTCCCCACTTCAAAAAATATTCTGGATTGGGTGTAGTGGCTCACGCCTATAATCCCAGCACTTTGGGAGGCTGAGGCAGGTGGATCACGAGGTCAGGAGTTCAAGACCAGCCTGGCCAACATGGTGAAACCCTGTGTCTACTAAAAATACAAAAATTAGCTGAGTGTGGTGGTGCACACCTATAATCCCAGCTACTCAGGAGGCTGAGGCAGGAGAATCGCTTAAACCCAGGTGACGGAAACTGCAGTGAGCCTAGATTGCACCACTGCACTCCAGCCTGGGCAACAGAGCAAGACTCAGTCTCAAAAAAAAAAAATTCTGTATGTGAGTCCAGGGTACATGGACTCACAGGTATCTTCTCCTAGTCTATAGTTTGCATTTTCACTTTCTTAATGAAATGAATGGATCACTCTACAACGAACCCCAACACCTTATCTGTGCTACTGCTTCCAAAGACGTGGATTGCTGATGTTTGCTAACTGAAAAATGAAGGAATTTAACCTCTAAAACCTATTGAGGAGATAGGAAACTAAAGGAGAATGCTAATGACTTTACAAATACAAGCACTCCTAGTCCCAAACCAGAGTAAAAAATGGGTGATTCTGTTGGCAAAGGATATTTTTTAAAAAGAAAAAAGTGGGAATAAGGAAAAAATTATATCCCTTGTATTACAGGATCTCTGGGCTGTCAATTTTTCTAGCTGGAAACATAACACCTTTGAGTTTCTGTCCTGTATCCAGGAAGAATGAGGTACATATTTATGGACCTCAGAAAGGATGAAGTGCATGCTGACTGGTCCATGGGCAGGCCAGGAAGAGGTGTCACAAGTCCCTACTCCAGTCCAAGGAACTAGCAGTCCAGGCCCCAGACTTCAGGGTTTCTTGCCCTGAGGGTGGGGCCTTACTGCGGACCCCACCCACTTCTGCCCAGGACTCCATCTGCCTCCTGCTGCCATTCATGGCCCCAGTGCATGGCAGGGTCCTTCCTGGGGCTCCCAAGAATGCAGGCTGCAGAGATTCCCCGGTCCTGCCACCTGCCTCCGCAGCTGCACCCGGGAGCTCCCACCCCACCAACTCGGAAGGGGCTTGTCCCCAACTCTTGCCTGCTTCCTGGAGCCAGAAGCCCAGGTCTGCAACCACAGGTGCGGTAGCTGTAGCAACACCTGGAAAGGCAAATCCTGTTTGTTCATGGTTCCCCCTAGAGCACAGGGAGGCTCAGATCTACAGCTGCAGTTTGGACAGCTGTAGCCCTGTCCAGGAGGGCAGGGTTCCTGCTTGCTTCATAGAGAAGGAGGCTTGGGTCTGCAGTGGTTGGCAGCTCCCATCCCAACCCAGAAGGGGTGGGGCTTCCAACTACTCCACGGAGTGTGTAGCCCCAGCCACACAGCATGATGGCAGCAGCCACTGCCATCATTTGCATTCAACTCACCTATGCTAAAAATAATTCACTGTTAGGCCAGGCACGGTGGCTTCCACCTGTAAACCAGTACTTTGCGAGGACGAGACAGGTGGATCATGAGGTCAGGAGTTTGAGACTACCCTCACCAAAATGGTGAAACCCCATCTCTACCACAAATACAAAAATTAGCTGGATGTGGTGACGCTTGCTTGTAATCCTGGCTATTCAAGAGGCTGAGGCAGGAGAATCACTTGAACCCAGGAGGCAGAGGTTGCAGTGAGGCAAGACTGCGCCATGGCACTCCAGCCTGAGCAACAGAGCAAGACTTCATCTCAAAATAATAATAATAATAATTTACTTTTGTGGGGTATAGTGGCTCACACTGTAATCCGAGAACTTTGGGAGGCCAAGGAGGGTGGATCACCTGAATCAGGAGTTCAAGACCAGCCTGGCCAACATAGCGAAACCCCGTCTACTAAAAATTAAAAAATTAGTGGGGCGTGATGGTGCACACTTGTAATCCCAGCCACCCGGGAGGTTGAGGCATGAGAATTGCTTGAACCCAGGAGGCAAAGGTTGCAGTGAGCCGAGATCATGCCATTATACTGCAGCCTGGGTGACAAGAGTAAAACTCCATCTCAAAAAAAAAAAAAAACAAAAAAACGCTGTTTTCAAGTTAGAAAGGAAACAGTTTTGAACCATTTTCTTGATGAAGTACAGATGTTATGTGTATGTGATTTTAATGTAAAACTATGGTATTTTATAGTAAATCACTGATTTCCAAAGCGAAAATTAAGTTTTTATTTCCTGTTAAAAGGTCCCTAATCAGCCAGGCGCGGTGGCTCAAGCCTGTAATCCCAGCACTTTGGGAGGCTGAGGCAGGTGGATCACAAGGTCAAGAGATCGAGACCATCCTGGTCAGCATGGTGAAACCCCGTCTCTACTAAAAAATACAGAAAATTAGCTGGGCATGGTGGCGCGTGCCTGTAATCCCAGCTACTCAGGAGGCTGAGGCAGGAGAATTGCCTGAACCCAGGAGGCGGAGGTTGCGGTGAGCCGAGATCGCGCCATTGCACTGCAGCCTGGGTAAACAAGAGCGAAACTCTGTCTCAAAGACCAAAAAAAAAAAAGGTCCCTAATCTATTAATCTCATTTTAAACAAATGCTTACTTCTCAGTACTTTCACGTTGCCATAAATATTCTAATACACCATTGCAGGTCATTATCTCCAAAATGCTACCACCCAACTTGTTAAATATATCAACAATCTTTATTGGCCAGGCACAGTGGTTTAACTCTGTAATCTCAGCACTTTGGGAAGCTGAGGCAGGAGGATCGCTTGAGCCTACGACTTTGAGACTAGCCTGGGCAACATAGTGAGACCCTATCATTACAAAACAATTTTTATAAGTAGGCCAGGCACAGTGGCTTATGCCTGTAATCCCAGCACTTTGGGAGGCCGAAGCAGGAGGATCACCTGAGTTCTGGAGTTCAAGACCAGCATGACCAATGTGGAGAAACCCCATCTCTAGTAAAAATACAAAATTAGCAGGCGTGGTGGCATATGCCTGTAATCCCAGCTACTTGGGAGGCTGAGGCAGGAGAATCGCTTGAACCTGGGAGGCAGAGGTTGCGATGAGCCGAGATCACGCCATTGCACGCCACCCTGGGCAACAATAGCAAAACTCCATCTCAAAACAATAAAACAAAAAAAATTTAAAAGTAGCTAGTTGTCCACCGGGCACGGTAGCTCATGCCTGTAATGTCAGCACTTTGGGAGGCCAAGGCAGGCGGATCACCTGAGGTCTGGAGTTTGAGTCTAACATGGCCAACATGGCAAAACCCTATCTCTACTAAAAATATAAAAATTAGCTGGATGTGGTGGCAGGCTCCTGTAGTCCCAGATACTTGGGAGGCTGAGGCAGGAGAATTGCTTGAACCTGGGAGGTGGAGGTTACAGTGAGTCGAGATCACGCCAGTGCACTCTAGCCTGGCAACAAAGTGAGACTGTCTCAAAAACAAGTTGTGGCACATGTCTGTGGTTTCACCTACTTGGTAAGCTGAGGTGGGAAGAGTGCTTGAGCCCAGCAGGTCAAGGCTGTAGTGGACCATGATCACACTACTGCTCTCCAGCCTGGGTGACAGAGAGAGACCCTGTTTCAAAAAAAAAAAATAGAATTTGGCTGGGCATGGTGGCTCACACCTATAGTCCTAGCACTTCGGGAGGCCAAGGCAGGAAGATCACTTGAGGCCAGGAGCTTAAGACTAGCCTGGTCAACAGAACAAGACTTAATCTCTACAAAAATTTTTAAATTAGACATGGTGGTACATGCTTGTAGTCCCAGTTACTCAGGAGGTTGAAGGGGAAGGATTGCTTGAGCCCAGGTGTTCAGGCTGCAATGAGCCATGATCATGTTACTGCAGTCCTGCCTGGGTGATAGAGAGAGACCCTGTCTCAAAAATAATAATAATAATAAAGCTATATTGATACTCAAACCATGAAATTCACTAAGTCAATACCTAGGATACCTAGGAACTTTTCTGAAAGGTAGTAATCCTTAAAAAGATTTAAAGAGTTGGGTAATAATTTTTTTTTAAAAATGTAACACCTATATAGTGCTTACTGTGTACCAGGCACTGTTCTTAAATGTTTTAGATATACTTAACCTTTTTCATCTTCAGGACAATCCACTGGTACCATTACTATCCCACAGAGCAACTATTAACTTAAAATTACATTGCTAGTAAGTTGCAGACCCAGAATATTCATTAAAGCATTCTTTTAATGCTTTAAAGCATTCATTAAAGTGGACAGATTACTTGAGGTCAGGAGGAGTTCAAGACCAGCATGGCTACCTGGCCAACATGGTGAAGCCTTTCTCTACTAAAAATACAGAAACATAGCCAAGTCTGGTGGTACGTGCCTGTGGTCCCAGCTACTCAGGAGCTGAGGTTGGAGAATCACTTGAAAACTTGGGTTGCGGAGATTGCAGTGAGCCTGGATTGTGCCACTTCACTCCAGCCTGGGTGACAGAGCAAGAAAATGAGACCCTATCTCAAAACAAAACAAAACAACAACCAAAAAAATGAATTTTTTTAAAATTCTTTTTTGCAGTTTTCTGTGATAAGCATATATTTATTAAAACTATTAAAATATTCTACTTACCAGCAAACTAGATTCTAAATAATGTATCCATCTCTTTCTACATTTACGTTTTGGAGTAATGAGGTATTTCTCAGCTAAAACACATTAACAGTGCTGTTGGCAGATGCTGTGGAAATTCCTTCCCACAGCCTGGCTTATTTAAAATTTGTCCTGGCTGGGCACACTGTTTCACACCAGTAATCCCAGCACTTTGGGAAGCTGAGGCTGGAAGATTGCTTGAGCTCAGGAGCTTAAGACTACCCTGGGCAACACAGTGAGACCTCATCTCTACAAAAAAATTTAAAAATTAGCCAGGCGTGGTGGTGCGCATCTGTAGTCCCAGGTACTCAGGTGGCTGAGGCCAGAAGATCTCTTGAGCCTGAGAAGTCAAGGCTACAGTGAGCTGTGATGACACCACTGCACTCCAGTCTGGGTGATAGAGTGAGACCCTATCAATCAATCAGTCAATCAATCTTGTCCTAATTCTTACATAGTATGTGGGTACCATTTTTTTTTTTATTTGAGATGGAATCTTGCTCTGTTGCCCAGGCTGAAGTACAGTGGCATGATCTCAGCTCACTGCAGCCTTCGACCCCTGAGTTCAAGTGATTCTTCTCTCTTAGCCTCCTGAGTAGCTGGGACTACAGACATGTGCCATCACACCTCGCTAATTTTTGTATTTTTTTTCTTTTTCTTCTTTTTTTTTAATTGCATTTTAGGTTTTGGGGTACATGTGAAGAACATGCAGGATTGTTGCATAGGTACACACGTGGCAGTGTGATTTGCTGCCGCCTTCCCCATCACCTCTATCTGGCATTTCTCCCCATACTATCTCTCCCCAACTCCCCACCCCGCACTGTCCCTCCCCTGTTTCCCCCCAACAGACCCCAGTGTCTAGTGCTCCCCTCCGTGTGTCCATGTGTTCTCATTGTTCAACACCCGCCTATGAGTGAGAACATGCGGTGTTTGATTTTTTGCTCTTGTGTCAGTTTGCTGAGAATGATGGTTTCCCGGTTCATCCATGTATTTTTAGTATAGACAAGGTTTCACTATGTTGGTCAGGCTGGTCTTTAACTCCTGACCTCAGGTAATCCGCTGGCCTCGGCCTCCCAAAATTCTGGGATTACTGTACAGGCGTGAGCCACCGCGCCTGGCCTAATTTTCTGTAGTTTATAACCTGTGCATCACTGATAACCTATATGAAGATTTCAGGACTTCTCCTCAGTCTTTCTGGGACTATATAATCCTACTCCAGGCATAGCCATGTCTATCCCTCACTACCTCTTCTCCGTGCCTATCCCCAATTCAATACTTCACCCCTAATCAGCAGTAGTTCAGCATAAAACCAAGGAAGAAGGCTTAACAGAAATCAGCAACATAATTTGAGTTGGAAATTTTTCTGAAAATAGACTAACAGTATGCAGATTTACACAGATTGCTACATTTATTAGACTGTGGGGTGCATCATTTTCAAATGGGAAAAATTGGAGAAAAATATTTAAAACTCAAGAACATTCTGTAAACAAGTCATTTCCTCCCACTCCCTGAAATACAGATAGCAAAAACTGGAAGAAAGAGAAAAAAACTGTTTTTGTCTCTTGGAAGTCATGGGAGTGATTGTTAAGTCAGTCCTTATCAGCCATAAATCCAGTGTAAATGCAGAAACACAGGCTGGAATGAAGTAGCAAACAGCCATGAGGTCTAGGTCAGGCTTTCAGAGGAATGGTCAGCATCTCCTTCTAGTTCCGTCTATTTCACAGCAGGCTTTATTATTACCGTGGAAAAGAGACTTAGTTTTTTCTGACTTGTTTCTCGTCTCTGTGTTTCTTTGAAACCACCATCTCATGAAAATGTATGACACTGAATTGTGGGGGTTTGTCATTTGTTTTTTAAAAGGTAACATATATAATAAAGTGTACTTGTTTTAATTGGGCAGCTTGGTAAATTTTGGCATATGCTTACCCTCTTAAGACAGAGTTTTTATTTTTTTCAGCTCTCTGGCCTGACAACCAATGTTGTGGACATTATTTTGGCTCATCACTTTGGGCAGGTAAGTGCCTGTTCCAGCCAGAAGAGCTGTGTTTATTGGCTTGCATGCAAATTCTTATTTTACTTCAGGAAAGAAGGGCTGCCTTAGAATTTATCTCATCCCAGCAAATAACACTTCCAATGTTGAAAGGCATGTGGCCTTGCAGATGTGAATCTAACTCATTGCCACATGGTTGTTGCCATGTGGAACTCAGAGAAGACAGCGTCTCTGGCTACCTGTTCCTGTAAGTAGCATGGCATCTGTTAATGTTTGACAGCATCACGTGCCTCCCCAAACATCTTTAGAGCCATTAGGAGGTCTGGGAAAGGCTTCACAGAAATAGAAATTTCAGGGAAAAAAACCTGTGAAGTAATAGTGCTAAAAGAAGCTTAGAGATTATCTTGTTCAAGCCCCATGTTTTTCGACTGGGGAGGAAAGGAAACTGAAGTCTTCACAAAAAGTGGCAGTTATCATGTACAAAATTGCTGGGTGGGGAAGGGGACTTAACTAGCAGGTGAGGGGGATCCTGTTCCTCTTCAAAGGGAAGAGTGAGTTGGGTGACCGACAAAGGAGTGATGGAATAAGTGGGCAATGAGGTCAGAAAGCTGTGAGGTGTCTGGGGTGGGGAGAGGAGAATAATATATGTAGGAATAGTGGGTACTTAATTGTAATCTGCTTCATTTAAAATATTATCCTGAAGGAAAATGGCAGATGGGAAGAAAACTAGCATTTACCAACTATTGATTATTTATAAGACTTTAGATGTACAAACTATTTTTTACATGGTTCTGTTAGTCTGATTTTAAGATAGGGATACCAAAGACCAGAGAGGCAACGTAATTTGCCACTGCTATCCAGATGGTGAGTGTGGAGCTGACATTTGAATCCAGGTCAGGCTAAGTCCAAAGTCTATCATCTTTTATTTCATTGTATTTTTATCAAAGTTACAAATTCACATATATTTTAGAGTAGAGAAATTCTACAGGGCTTATTACAAAGAGGGTGTCTCCTACCCCATATTCTGCTTTTTAGTGGCAACCGCTTTAATTCTTCCAGCTGATTCCTTTGGGTTTTGCCTCCATATTGCCCTCTCTTTAATTGAGGTAGTACTTACAAATAGTGTAATGCACACATCCTAAGTGCATCTCAGTGACCATTTACTGATGTATACTTTCATGTAACTACTACCCAGAACACAAACAGAAAATTTTCATCATTAACATTTCATCATTTTCATCACCCCACAAAGCTTTCCTCATTATCCTTTACCACTCAATAATTCCCCACCCCAAACAAGGTATTGACTATTCTGTTACCTCCGTAGATTATTTTTGACTGTCTTAAACTTCATATAAATGGAATAACAGAATGTATATTTCTCTGAGTCTGGCTGCTTTTGCTCAACATACTGTCTTTTTTTCATCCATGTCATTCCATGTGTCAGTAGTTCATTCTTTTTTATTACTGTGTAGCAGCAGTTCATTGTGTTAATACACTACAAATTAGGGGTTGGGTGCAGTGGCTCACGTCTGTAATCCCAGCACTTTGGGAGGCTGAGGTAGGCAGATCACTTGAAGTCAGATGTTTGAGACCAGCCTGGCCAACATGGTGAAACTCTCTTTCTACTAAAAATACAAAAATTAGCCAGGCATGGTAGCATACACCTGTAGTTCCAGCTACTTGGGAGGCTGAGGCAGGTACCCCATAGAAGTACCCTATCTTTATAAATATTCAAAAATCAGCCGGGCTTGGTAGCTGTGGTCCCAGCTACTCAGGAGGCTGTGGTGGGAGGATCACTTGAACCCAGAGTTCAAGACTGGCCTGGGCAATATAGCAAAAATAAATACTACTTTATATAGGTCTCTGAAGGGAGAGCTAAGGACAGTATTTAATCATTTCTAAAAAGCAAGAACATCCTCACTGTATGTACAGTAATATATATACACATATATATAACTTTATATATATTACTGTATCTATAACTATATAAATATATGCGTTTAAAACATGAGGTCATCGTGGATTGTCATAAGGCTGAAGAGTTCATTTAAAATTTAAGCATTCAGGCTGGTCTGAAGGTAGTGAATTATCTGAACTGATTGTAAAGTTAGTTACAGATTGAATTCCTTGTTCTACTCTTTCCTTTCTCTCACTACTGCTCTTGACCAGCCAAAAAGATAAGAAAAATTAAAAATAAGTTTTAAAAAAGTAAGCAAACTAATGCTTGTATTGCTTTGAAATGGAAGCAAACATGGTTTTTTTTTTCTTTTTTTAAGACGGAGTTTCGCTTTTGTTACCCAGGCTGGAGTGCAATGGCGCGATCTCGGCTCACCGCAACCTCCGCCTCCTGGCTTCAGGCAATTCTCCTGCCTCAGTCTCCTGAGTAGCTGGGATTATAGGCATGCGCCACCATGCCCAGCTAATTTTTTGTATTTTTAATAGAAACGGGGTTTCACCATGTTGACCAGGATGATCTCAATCTCTTGACCTCGTGATCCACCCGCCTCTGCCTCCCAAAGTGCTGGGATTACAGGCGTGAGCCACCGCGCCCGGCCCACAAACATGGTTTTTAAACATGAATAATGCTCATCTTCACCAATAAGAGAAAAAAAATAAAAATACATTTGTACTAGCAAGGATGTGGGAAGACAGTGTAAATAAATGAGAGAGTCTATATATCTGGATAAGGAATGATATCTACTGTACTTTACATGGCAAAGCAAGTGTAGAGCAATGTCTAGAGGACTATAATTTGTGTTTTTAAAAAGGTGAGAGTCAGTTTGTTTATTGAGAACAGAGTCTTGCTCTGTCGTCCAGGCTGGATTACAGTTATGCCATCATAGTTTGCTGCAGCTTCAATCTCCCGAGCTTAAGCCATCCTCCTCCTTCAGCCTCCTGAGTAGCTAGTACTACAGGCATGTACCATCACATTAAGCTAGTTTCAATTTTTTTGGTAGAGATGGGGGTCTTACTATGTTAACCTAGGCTAGTCTCAAACTCCTGGCCTCAAGCGATCCTCCTGCCTCAGCCTCCCAAAGTGCTGGGATTACAAGCATGAGCCACCACACCTGGCCTGTCATTTGGTATTAACTTTTCTTACTATAATATCTTTAGAATGAGACTGGGGCTCTCACAAAGTTTTCTGGTAGTGATTTGTGTACCCTTCAGTTTCAGGTAGACTCTTATCAGTATCCAACTGTATTCTGGGCTCACGACATCTGCATGGTGGTGAAAATGCAAACAAATTTTCCATATCTTTATTTCTCTAATAAGGCTTGGTGGTGAAGTTTACACATTGCCCTGGATTAACAGACTTCTTAATTATCCCTGAATATTTCTTTCCTTCAATGCAAGAATTTTTCTTTCTGCTTAAAACTGTTTAATGACGTATGTGTGTATGCACACACATATTTACATGTATGCTTATGTATTCAAGAATCTGGCAACTAGTTCTGATGACATCTGAGAAGGCCAGCAACAGAGTGACCATTAAACAGTGGGTGGTGGAGAGGGAAACTTACTTTTCACTGTATAGACCAATTTGTTTCTCTTGTATTTTATACCTTTAAAAGTATTGGTAAGGCCAGGCATGGTGGCTCATGCCTGTAGTCCCAACACTTTGGGAGGCCAAGGTGGGCAGATCACAAGGTCAGGAGTTTGAGACCAGTCTGGCCAACATAGTGAAACCCCCAACATAGTGAAACCCCATTTCTACTAAAGCTCAGGAATTCCAAACTGCAGTACATTATATGAATATGAATTACCTGTGAATAGCCACTGTACTCCAGCATGAGCAACATAGTGAGTCCCCATCTCTAAAATAAAATTTGAAAGATTAAAATAAATAATAAATTACTAAATCAATAAAGTATCATAAACAGAATGGAATATACAATTATACAATGTATAATGTTAAATGGTGGTATATATAGATAGGTAATATGCTGATTATATCAGTGAAGTATGAATAAGTTAATTGGACAGCTTTATGGTTATTAAAAGAAATGTAGCCAGGCACAGTAGCTCACACCTGTAATCCCAGCACTTTGGGCGGCCGAGGCAGGCAGATCACCTGAGATCAGGAGTTTGAGACCAGCCTAGCCAACATGTTGAAACCCTGTCTCTACTAAAAATACAAAAAATTAGCCAGGTGTGGTAGTGTGCACCTGTAGTCTCAGTTACTTGGGAGGCTGAGACAGGAGAATAGCTTGAACCTGGGAGGCAGAGGTTGCAGTGAGCCAAGATCACGCACTGCACTCCTGCCTGGGTGAGAAAGAGCAAGATTCTGTCTCAAAAAATAAAATAATGTTACTGTTGAATATCTTGAACATGGTGTGACTCTACTAAAAATACAAAAAAAAAATTAGCTTGGCATGGTGGTCCATGCCTCTAATCCCAGCTACTCAGGAGACTGAGGCAGGAGAATTGCTTGAACCCGGGAGGTGGAGATTGCAGTGAGCCGATTCTGTGCCAAGGTGATTGAGCATGACTCTGCCTCATAAAAAAAGAACTGTTACCTTCCTTTTTTTTACACTTTACAGTTTATATGTTTATATAACTTTTCTTATTTAATCTTTAAAACAGCCTTGTCAGATAGCTGGTTATTATCTTCATTTTTATAATATCTCCATTTTTGTGTAGAATGGCAGAACATTAAAAAAAAATACAAAGAAATCAGGGTTCTGAGTAATGAGGTGACCTAAGTTCCACAGCTAGTACTTGAATCCATAATAGGTCCTTTGCTGCCCTCATCTGACACAGAATATGGCACTGAACCAGTCTGATGCAAATAATCAGCCATTCAGCCTACCAGTGTATCAGTAGCCTCCAGCCTCTGCCCCAGTCCCCATCATGAGCCATATGGTTTGGCTTGTGGTATTGAAAATGCAAAATAAGCTGGGCGCAGCGGCTCAAGCCTGTAATCCCAGCACTTTGGGAGGCCGAGGCGGGTGGATCACGAGGTCAAGAGATCGAGACCATCCTGGTCAACATGGTGAAACCCCGTCTCTACTAAAAATACAAAAAAGTAGCTGGGCATGGTGGCACATGCCTGTAATCCCAGCTACTTAGGAGGCTGAGGCAGGAGAATTGCCTGAAGCCAGGAGGCGGAGGTTGCGGTGAGCCGAGATCACGCCATTGCACTCCAGCCTGGGCAACAAGAGCGAAACTCCGTTTCAAAAAAAAAAAAGAAAAGAAAATGCAAAATAAATAAGATGGACTTGTTCTGGAGCTCAGAAGCTTACCTGTGTCTTCTTTGAATTATTCTAGGAAGAGTTACAGGCCAACCTGGACCTGATCCAAACCTACAGAATGCATATTGCCCAAGACATCAACCAAGACAACCTGCAGCTCTTCTTGAATTCCTATAATGGGTATATTTTTTTCCTATTTCTTCACTTAAATGTAGACAGGTCTAAAAAGAGGAGACGGGAGGAGAGAGTACTGTATCTAATCTTGAGACCAGCTTCTTTGAGATGAAAATGTGAGCCCCTTCTGGTTTTCTAGAAACATGGGCAAAGATGGACGAAATGGGTCCATCTTTATCCAGAGTTACACAGCCAGGAAGGAGCAAAGCCAGATTTTGAACTTTGTCTCTCTAGCTCTTCTATATAACAGAGCCTCCCTATTTTTAGCTGAAATTAGAAAGATTAAGTCCTGTGCTAAACTCTATTAATAGTTACAAGAAAAACACCCTTCCCCCTTTCCTCAAAATGTGTCATTCTCTTCTCTTAAGGAATTTATTCCTATAAATTAAACACTTAGGACTTGAGAGCTTCAGTGGTATTGCTGTTGGGTTTTGAGGCTGTCTCCTTGTAGCATCCCAAAGAGTCCTGCAGGGTTTAGCCAGGAGCCTCCTTCCTGCCCCGTACCACTCAGGATGCCACTGAAGTGGTGACTCGAGAATCAAGTCACAGGGCCTCTTCCCTTCTCAGGTGTGAAAGAAAGGTAATTTCACATTCCTTGATACATTTTGGTGTTTATGACCAGAAAATAACCTGAGTTGCTATGACTTTACCCAAAAAGGGCCTTGCTTTTGCTTTGTTTTTCTAGACGCAGAGACTTGGAGATCGAAAGACCCATACTGGGCCAAAATGATAACAAATTAAAAACATTAAAGTAAGTTCCTCAGTTTCCTCAACTGACTTGCCAAATATCTTTGCATTCATAGACTAATTTGGTGTTCAATGGAATTTATGTGCCTATTTGCTGAGTGACACCTCTTATTTTGCCTACCTAGGTGTTCTACTTTACTGGTGGTAGGGGACAGTTCGCCTGCAGTTGAGGCTGTGGTAAGTATGTTCTGATGCTGTGAAGATAATGAGATTAAAATGTAATAAAATTATAGGCCGGGCTGGGTGTGGTGTAAGCACACCTGTAATCCCAGCACTTGGGGAGGCTGAGGTGGGCGGATCACCTGAGGTCAGGAGCTCAAGACCAGCCTGGACGACATGGTAAAACCCCCATCTCTACTAAAAATACAAAAGCAAATTAGCCAGGCGTGATGGTGGGCACCTGTAATCCCAGCTACTTGGGAGACTGAGGCAGGAAAATCGCTTGAACCTGGGAGGCAGGGGTTGCAGTGAGCCAAGATCATGCTACTGTTCTCCAGCTTGGGTGATAGAGCGAGACTCCCTCTCAAAAAAAAAAAATTATAGGCTGGGTCCAGTGGCTCACACCTGTATTCCCAACACTTTGGGAGGCTGAGGCAGGAGGATCACTTGAGCCCAGGAGTTTGAGACCAGTGGGCAACACAGTGGGACCCTAACCCTACAAAAAAATTTTTTTGAATTAGGCAGCCTTTAGTCCCAGCTATTCTAGAGGCTGAGATAGGAGATCAAGGCTGCAGTGGGCCATGATTGCTCCACTGCACTCCAGCCTGGGTAACAGAGTAAGACCCTGTCTCAAAAAAAAGTATGTAGCGCATTGTTGACACACTAGAAACAGTTGGTAAATACTAATTTTTGTTTTCTGATTACACATATCAGGGTTTGCTCTTTGTCATACATTTTTTTTAGAAAGTTCATTCATCAATCACTAGATTTCATCAGATGGGATCAGTTTTGTTCTTGATTGTTTTGTGTGGTGTAGTTCACTTTGTGGCAAGTAGTACAACTAAAACCATTTACTTATTAGCAGATTTCTGACAGCCTCAGCCTTTAATCTGGAATAGATTGCCACCATAAATCAAGCAGGCTGGAAGGCCATCTCTACCTTCTTCTGAAGGACATAGCACATGGATAAAAATTATATATGCTTATTGTAGAAAATATGAAAAAAAAATGTAAAAATAGAAAGATGGGCCGGGTGCAGTGGCTCAAGCCTGTAATCCCAGCACTTTGGGAGGCCAAGGCGGGTAGATCATGAGGTAAAGAGATTGAGACCATCCTGGTCAACATGGTGAAACCCCGTCTCTGCTAAAAATACAAAAAATTAGCTGGGCATGGTGGCGCGTGCCTGTAATCCCAGCTACTCAGCAGGCTGAGTTAGGAGAATCGCCTGAACCCAGGAGGCAGAGGTTGCAGTGAGCCAAGATCGTGCCATTGCACTCCAGCCTGGGTAACAAGAGCGAAACTCCGTCTAAAAAAAAAAAAAAAAAAAAGAAAGATGGGGGGGAAGTCGTAATCCCATTACCTAAAGACAGACAATTACCTTTTTCTTTACATAGACCTGATTATATTGAATATATAAGATTTGGGGGCCTGACTGAACACTTTTGATAGCATTTTTCCATTATAGAGTTAGTATGTCTGTAGATTTACCACTATTTATTTAACTTTATTCTCATGTTGATTAATTCCAATTTTATGCTATTAATAATGTTACTGTTGGTCAGGTGTGGTGGCTTACGCCTGTTGTGCTGGGATTCCAGCACTTTGGGAGGCTGAGGTGGGTGGATCACCTGAGGTTAGGAGTTCAAAACCAACCTGGCCAACGTGGTGAAACCCCATCTTTATTAAAAATACAAAAAATCAGGGCCAGGCGGGGTGGCTCATGTCTGTAATCCCAGCACTTTGGGAGGCTGAGGTGGGCAGATCATGAGGCCAGGAGTTTGAGATCAGCCTGGCTGACATGGTGAAACCCTGTCTCTACTAAAAATACAAAAAAAAAAATCAGCTGGGTGTGGTAGTGTGCGCCTGTAGTCCCAGCTACTTGGGAGGCTTAGACAGGAGAATCACTCGAACCCGGGAGGCAGAGGCTGCAGTGAGCCAAGAGTGCCAGTCACTCGTGCCTGTAATCCCCGCATTTTGGAGGTCAAGGTGGGTGGGCAGATAACCTGAGGTCAGGAGTTCGAGACCAGCCTGATCATGGTGAAACCCGAATCTACTAAAAATGCAAAAATTAGCCAGGCATGGTGGCAGGTGCCTGTAATTCCAGCTCCTCAGGAGGCTGAGGCAGGAGAATGGCTTGAACCCAGGAGGTGGAGGTTGCAGTGAGCCAAGATCGTACCACTGCACTCCAGCCTGGGGGATAAGAGTGAGACTTCATCTCTAAATAAATAAATAAATAAAATGTTACTATTGAACATCCTTAGGAAATCTTTGAATCTTTGGTTATTTCTTTGGGATGGATTTCCAGAAGTGAAATTAATATGTCTAAAATTATAAATCTTTATAAAGTCTTTAATACATTTTGCCAGGTTCCTTTCCAGAAAGGATATACCAGTATATTGCCACCAGCACTGTATAAGCATGCCTGTTTCACTGCACGCTGTCTAGCACTGAATCTTTTTTTATTAGTAGTTAAAATCTGATAGGTTAAAAATAGTATCTCACTGTTTTAATTTGCATTTATTTGATTAAAAATGAAGTTGATACTTTTTCATATGTCTAATTATGTGTTTCCCACAGCATATATAACTTAACCAAGTATCTCTGTTTATTATTACTTGATTTCTTTGGCTGTCTTCACTTCTGCCCTAAATAGAGCAAAACATTAAGGAGTAAAACTTTTTGGAAAGGAAGTCTAACAAATGATCGGAGGTTTAGACATAGTTGAGGTTTGTGGAGCGGGGAAATGATTGTAGGGCAAGAATATGCAGATGTAAAAGGATATATTCGCATGTCTCTGAACTGCCCTGTAAAACACTTTGAGTTCTGGTGTGAAATACATGGCGTGTGGCTGGGGACAGTGGCTCACGCCTGTAATCCCAGCACTTTGGGAGGCCGAGGTGAGCAGATCACTTGAGGTCAGGAGTTCAAGATCAGCCTAGCTAACATGGCAAAACCCTGTCTCTACTAAAAATAAAAAAATGAGCTGGGTGTGGTTGTGCACACCTCTAATCCCAGCTACTCAGTAGAATTGCCTGAACCCAGGAGGCAGAGGTTGCAGTGATCTGAGATCGTGCCACTGCACTCCAGCCTGGGTGACAGAGCAAGACTCTGTCTCAAAAAAACAAACAAACAGGGCCGGGCGCGGTGGCTCACGCCTGTAATCCCAGCACTTTGGGAGGCCGAGGCGGGTGGATCACGAGGTCAAGAGATCGAGACCAACCTGGTCAACATGGTGAAACCCCGTCTCTACTAAAAATACAAAAATTAGCTGGGCATGGTGGGGTGTGCCTGTAATCCCAGCTACTCAGGAGGCTGAGGCAGGAGAATTGCCTGAACCCAGGAGGCGGAGGTTGCGGTGAGCCGAGATCACGCCATTGCACTCCAGCCTGGGTAACAAGAGCAAAACTCTGTCTCAAAAAAAAAAAAAAAAAAAAAAACAAAAACAATGATTGTGTTTGGTCTACCAGGTATCAAGACTTCTTATAATGTAGAAATTGCAATGGTGAATCAAGGAAAGCATGATTTATTATATTAAATGCAGATTTTGGAGTGCATTCTTCCAGAAAATATTTATAGTTTATCTACTATGTTCTAAGCACTGTGCCTAGCAGTTAGAGATCCAGTTTTTAAATTCTACCTTTTAGAGTTAATGCACATTCTGTAGTGAACTGATACATTTGTTTGTCACTGCCTGCATTGTCCTTTGTGTAGAGCAAATCAAAACTCTGATTTGGTGATCCTCACTTTTTATATTATCCCTGATTTTAGAAGAGTTTTGTATACCTGCCCACCCGCAATCCTGAGAGCAAAAGTTCATCTGGATTACTGGGTCTTGCCTAGGTAATTTTATTTTATTTTATTTTATTTGTTTTTTTGAGACAGAGTCTCGCTCTTGTTACCCAGGCTGGAGTGCAATGGCGCGATCTCGGCTCACCGCAACCTCCGCCTCCTGGGTTCAGTCAATTCTCCTGCCTCAGCCTCCCGAGTAGCTGGGATTACAGGCACGAGCCACCATGCCCAGCTAATTTTTTTGTATTTTTAGTACAGACGGGGTTTCACCATATTGACCAGGATGGTCTCGATCTCTCGACCTCGTGATCCACCCGCCTCAGCCTCCCAAAGTGCTGGGATTACAGGCTTGAGCCACCGCGCCCAGCCGCCTAGGTAATTTTGACCACTGCTTGCTGCCACTGCAGTCCGTTATGTAGGCCATTCCTAAAACAACTCAAATCCTGTCACTTCAGACACCTTCTGTGGCATCCCGCCTTCCACAGTTAGCTCCAGCCTGTGCCCCAGCCTCACCTCCAGTCTACCTTACCTCACACTTGCCTCAGCAGATGTTCTGTTCCCACCCCTGGGCTATGCTTATGCTTTCACCTTGATTCTGGAAGTTCTCAAACACTCACACTTTCCCTTTATCTATCTGTAGAAATCCCACTCCTCTTTCTGTGTTTGCTCAGCTTAGTTGTGAAGTGTTTGCAGTGGTTCATTTTGCTTTGTATTACATGTTTCACCCTGCTGGATCCAGACTATCAGCACAGATTTTATATGTGTGTTCTTAGCAAACCTATAAACAGAGAGATCCAGTTGATTAAAATAGCCCTAAAACAATGCTGAACCGAGAGATTGTCTCCCCAAAATGTTTTCTTTGAGATCCCTGCCCTCATGAACACAAGGGTACAGGATATCAGACATGTGAATGCACAGGGCTGTGATTCTTTTTTTTTTTTTTTTTTTTTTGAGACGGAATTTCGCTCCTGTTACCCAGGCTGGAGTGCAATGGCGCGATCTCGGCTCACCGCAACCTCCGCCTCCTGGGTTCAGGCAATTCTCCTGCCTCAGCCTCCTGAGTAGCTGGGATTACAGGCACGTGCCACCATGCCCAGCTAATTTTTTGTATTTTTAGTAGAGACGGGGTTTCACCATGTTGACCAGGATGGTCTTGTGATTCTTAATTAAATGACTCTATAGAGAAAAATGAGAAGAGTTCAACTTTAGGCTGGATAGACAAAGACCTTGAGGTAGAAAAGAGTGAAGACAGAAGGAATAACAAACCCACTAAGGAAAGAGGCAGGAGAGGTGCTCAGGTCTTAGTCATTAGAACCAGTTGTGCTCAGAAGCCATTAAAGAGATCCCAGCAGGAGCAGGAGAGGACCCATGGTCTAGTCCTTTTTTTTTTTTTTGAGACAGAATTTCACTCTTGTTGCCCAGGCTGGAGTGCAGTGGCGGAATCTTGGCTCACCACAACCTCCGCCTCCCAGGTTCAAGTGATTCTCCTGCCTCAGCCTCCCAGGTAGTTGGGATTACAGGCATGTGGCACCACACCCAGCTAATTTTGAATATTCAGTAGAAATAGGGTTTCTCCATGTTGGTCAAGCTGGTCTTGAACTCCTGACCTCAGGTGATCCACCCGCCTCCGCCTCCCGAAGTGCTGGAATTACAGGTGTGAGCCACCATGCCCGGTGGTCCAGTTCATTTTCCAAAGAAGTAAGGTAACCGACTTCATGTTATGTAGCTAGCCAGTGGGAAGAATTAGATTTAGCTTGTAGTTTTTTTTAAAGACATGTAACAGATTCAGAAAATTAGATAAGTGAAATTTTTAGGTCTGCTTGGAAATTTCGAAGTGTATCATATAAATAAATATGTCTTTCACTATGTGTTTTGGTAATCTCTTTGGCTGGTTCAGCCTTCTTCAAACTGAGCTGTTGATCTTGCAAGATCATTCTCATGCTGGGCTATTTCATTTTTTTCCTAGCAACTCATAAAATTATTCTCTCCTTTTTAAAATTTTAGGTCGAATGTAATTCCCGCCTGAACCCTATAAATACAACTTTGCTAAAGGTAATGTGTCTTCTTCCTTCACTTCCAACCCTTTGTGAGTATATTATATATGCTTCAGATTAATCATGTTTTCTGGAATAATTGCCCAGAAAGAAGCAAAGCTTCCCTCTCTTTGGTATTTCATTCTCTTTTTAAAATAATGCTTTTGGCTGGGTATGGTGGTTCATGCCTGTAATCCCAGCACTTTGGGAGGCCGAGGCAGGTGGATCATGAGGTCAGGGGTTTGATACCAGCCTGGCCAATATGGCGAAACCCTGTCTCTACTAAAAATACAAAAATTAACTGGGTGTGGTTGCACATGCCTGTAGTCCCAGCTACTCGGGAGGCTAAGGCAAGATAATTGCTTGAACCTGGGTGGCAGAGGTTGCAGTGAGCCGAGATCACACCACTTCACTCCAGCCTGGGCAACAGAGCGAGATTCTGTCTCAAAAATAAATAAATAAATAAATAAATAAAATAAAATAATACTTTTTTGCTGATTATGTTCTCATTGTAGAACACTGCAAAAAAGAAAAAAGCATAAAGAATAAAATAAATTTAAATTACCCATAATACCACCCAAACCTCTGGTAAATTATTGCTGTCCTTTCCTATTCATTTTTACATCATTAGAGAGGTGCAGGGCACAATGGTTGACACCTGTAATCCCAACACTTTGGGAGGGTGAGGTGGGTGGATCACTTGAGTCCAGTTATTTTGAGACCAGCCTGGGTGACAGAGTGAGACCCCATCAGAGAGTATTTACAACCCTGTATCTGTTTTACTCAACTTTATGACCGAGCCTTTTCCCATGTAACTAAAAACTTTGGCTGGGTGCAGTGGCTCACACCTATAATCCCAGTGCTTTGGAAGGCCAAGGTGGGAAGCCAGGAGTTCGAGAGCAGCCTGGGCAACACAGTGAGATTCTGTCTCTACAAAAAAAAATAAGAAAATTAGCTGGGCTTGGTGGTGCGCTCCTGTAGCCCCAGCTACTCAGGAGGCTGAGGCTAGAGGATTCCTTGAGCCCAGGAATTCGAGGATTTGTGCTCTTGACACTTCACTGCAGCCTAGGTGACAGAGTGAAACCCTGTCTCAAAAAAAAATTTTTTAACTTCATAAACGTTATTTAGTGTTGTGAGAATTAAGACAATGGATATAAATTCTTTATATGCAAAATCCTGCTGTATTGATAAGGAAACTTTCAGTAACGATTCTAATGATGAGGGTGGATGCATGTTCTTTTTCTTAGGGCAAATACAGAGCGACTCTTAGGCTAACTTTCTAGAGTTAGTATCAAGTGTCTCCCCTTTTGAGTATATCCTAGGCAGGAGTTTTTACCTGACATTGTTTCAACCTAGCTTTTCCTAGAGCCCCTACTAAAGTTTTTAGGTAGCTGATCGTCTAGTTTGAATTTGGACTACTGTAGATTTAAATGCTGATCATATGTTGCTTACTGCCACATTTTCAGTGTGAAAGACCTCTGCCTCTTCCTTTTCTCTTTGAGGTGTGTTTGAAAGGAAAGTGCTGTTACCAGAAACAGCCTGTAGTTCCTAGAAAGATAACGTGAGGTTAATGCACTGAGATGACCACACTCAAAATGTTCTGGCCTCCAGTCAGTTGATGGCGGGTCTAAAAATTTTTTCTGGGGGCTGGGCATGGTGGCTCACGCCTGCAATCCCAGCACTTTGGGAGGCGGAGGCCAGGAGTCAAGACCAGCCTGCCCAACATGGTGAAACCTCCTCTCTACTAAAAATACAAAAATTAGCCAGCCATGGTAGCAGGTGCCTGTAATCCAGCTACTCCAGAGGCTGAGGCGGAAGTTACAGTGAGCCAAGATTGCACCATTGTATTCTAGCCTGGGCAACAAGAGCGAGACTTTATCTCAAAAAAAAATTTTTTTTTTTTTTTTTTTTTTTTTGAGACGGAGTGTCGCTCTTGTTACCCAGGCTGGAGTGCAATGGCGCGATCTCGGCTCACCGCAACCTCCGCCTCCTGGGCTCAAGCAATTCTCCTGCCCCAGCCTCCTGAGTAGCTGGGATTACAGGCACGAGCCACCATGCCCAGCTAATTTTTTTATATTTTTAGTAGAGACGGGGTTTCACCATGTTGACCAGGATGGTCTCGATCTCTCGACCTCATGATCCACCCGCCTCGGCCTCCCAAAGTGCTGGGATTACAGGCTTGAGCCACCACGCCCGGCCTATTTTTTTTAATAAAAATAAAATATTGATTGTTTTTTAAGTTTGCAGTTTCAAATTAATTTCTCACTTCAGGTTTCAATCAATATTCAAAAGCACAAAACTACAATAAACATAGACAGTTATTTTTGGGAAAAAAAGCCCATCTAAAACCCCATAGAATAGAGTAGATAACTCCTATGGCAGATTGAACTCTCAAACTGTTTGATAGGTACCCATCTTGGGAATAGTTTCTCCCGGTATTCTCTCTGCATATGGGAACTGTTCAGTGGTTCGCATCAGGTTTCAGCTCCTAAACTTCATGAAAATACAGCCTGTGCTGGTTTGGTTTTGTGTATATTTGTTAGATTAAGTGTTTGTGTACAATCTTATGCTTAGAATTTTCAGGGGACTTGCCCTTGTTAATCTCAAATTTCTGTGTCTTCTGTGGCACTCTCCCCAGTAGCAGTCCCCCCTCAAAATAATTTTTAATGCCAGTGAGTTGAAACCATGGGGTTCATGTCCCTTTTTTTAAAAAAAAGCCAGCCAGCCTGAATAGGATACCATCAGAGCCTGGAGTGCATAACAGCTGGAAGGAAGAGAGCAGGCCTGTGTTTGGCCACCATGCCCTAAAAATGCTTTTCTATGGAGAGTAGATTCAAATCAGCTGGGAGCTTATTAGAAATACACGTTCTTGAACCATACCCCAGACCTGTCAAATCAGAATCTCCGGGACAGGGATCCAAGAATCTGAGTTTTAATAAGTCCTTCAGGTAATTCCAGTGTACACTAATGAAGCCATACCCTAGAAATGCTTGCACATGTGTGAAAAACCAGCTGTAAATGTTTATGAAGTGAAAAGCATCATTACCAAACCCAGCTATTAGAGGAAAGTGGTTGACTGAGTGAGCTGACTAAATCAGTATCATCCTGTTGGCAGAGTGCCCTTACTCATGAAGGAAAGAAAGATAACGTAGAGTTGAAATGAGACTTGGAAAGCATGATGCACAGAGAAGTTAGGGTCACACTGTTCGAGGACTCTGAAAGGAATATTCTCAGGTGGTTTCCACAACTGAGAGTAGTGGTTAACTTCACTATCACCGCAACAGAAAATTGCCACCATGGGCCTGAAAGTCAGCCCTTAAGTCTTATTGATAAATAAGTATGGAATAATTATTTCAGATTTTCATCCAATGAAAATATATGTGAGTGCATTGTATGTGAGTGCATTGAGATGTAAACTTGCAGTTAAACATTAAAACCTAGAAGTTGATTTTGTTCTGTTTGAAAGGACTTGGGATGTTCAGAGCAATTCTCTTAAGGGTAAGTCCCAGCTGACTTGCATATTTCTCCTTTTCTAGATGGCAGACTGTGGGGGACTGCCCCAGGTAGTTCAGGTAAGGAGATTTTTTTTTTTTTAAAACACCCTTTTAATTCTGCGTCTCTGTCTATGCAAAGATTAATGTCCTCTCGTTTTGTGCCCCCAGCCTGGGAAGCTCACCGAAGCCTTCAAGTACTTTTTGCAGGGAATGGGCTACAGTGAGTAGTACACAACTTTCTATCTAGCAACAATTGATGAATATTGGGGATCAGCTTTGCATCTGGGAGCCCACAATTCTTGGGATATAACTGTACCAGCTAGCGTTAAGCAAAGTAGAAACCAAAATGTTGATGGAACGTTCATTCGTGTGTATTTATGATATGCTAACACTCAGCACTTACTTTTGTCAGGTACTATGTATTCTTTTTTTTTTTTTTTTTTTGAGACGGAGTTTCGCTCTTGTTACCCAGGCTGGAGTGCAATGGCACGATCTCGGCTCACCGCAACCTCCGCCTTCTGGGTTCAGGCAATTCTCCTGCCTCAGCCTCCTGAGTAGCTGGGATTACAGGCACGCACCACCATGCCCAGCTAATTTTTTTTTGTATTTTTAGTAGAGACGGGGTTTCACCATGTTGACCAGGCTGGTCTTGATCTCTTGACCTTGTGATCCACCCGCCTTGGCCTCCCAAAGTGCTGGGATTACAGGCTTGAGCCACCACGCCCGGCCACTATGTATTCTTAATCTAAGAGGTCATTCTGTTATTAGTGCCATTTTATAGAAGAAGAAACTGAGTCTCAAAAAGGCTAAGCACATTTCCTAGGGTAAAAATTCAGCTGTAGAACCATGATTCAGACTCTGGCAGTCTGACTCCAGAGCCCACATTTTGAACCACTGAAGCTTAGGCTGTCTGTCCTAGGTGTGAATCTGAAATTATGATTTACATTTAAACTCAGCTGGTTAATAACTCCGGACCTAGAGATATGAAATGGAGACTCCAGGAGAAAAGGGCAGTATCCTTGGAAGTATCTTTCTCCCCAGGAGATGAACTTGGAGAGTGTTTTTAGAGCAAGTCCAAGGGTGTGTCCATATCATATGCCATTGTCCTGGTCTCTTGTATTGTATGACCCCTGAGCTTTCTCATGGTCACAGAATTCTCTACATGTGCTCCTTTCTTGGAGTTTTAAGAAAAACTCTTTCACTCAGGTACAGAGCTCTTTACCCAGTAGGGTGATTTTTCTCCTGTCTTTGGTATTAGTGTGAATAATGGTCATTGGTGAGCCACCTGGTCAGCTGCTCTGGGTAGCTGGGCCCTGGGTGCAGCCCTGTACCTGCCAGGCAGACCATGTATGTCTTGTCTCAAGTGGCTGTGTCATCCTTGCCTGTGAGCTGCTACCAACCGAGCCCACACCCACAGCCCTAGAGCTCACTGGGAGGAACAGGAGCCCCTCTCCTAGCCCATTCTTATCCTTTGCCAAGAAACAGCTGATCTTCCAGCCCATTGCTGATCCAAAGCAAGATGACTATTTATAGCGGAGAGGAAAACAACTGCTTTTGTCTAATTGAGGAAGTAACATCTGAGATGCTATGAATTATCTGTCAGCCTCACCTCCTCTCTGGGACCTTAAAATAAAATTTTATCCCTGTCTTAGAGTATTCTGTCAGTGTCTACCAGGCAACTGAGGTTGCCACTTGGCACTCTCAGGTCACTAACCTGGCTTTTCCTATGTCCATCCTGCTTCCAGTCCCGTATGTGCAGCTCAGTCACTTGAGCACCGAGTCAGGTACCTTCCTCTGTGCTGGCTCCATCCCGCCTTCCAGCCTCTCCTGGCTGCACTGGCTGCCTGTAGCATGTCCGTGGTCTTCCTGTGCAGTGAGAGCCCGATAGAACGCGGCTCAATACACCCCAAGAGATTTAGCCTACAGGTCCAGCCCTGGTCCCCCAGGAGTAAGAAAGGATCTGGTTGTAAGGGGAAGGCCTCCTCTTGTCATCCTAAATCCAGGGTCACAGCAGCAGCTGCAATTTGATAGGCAGGGCCTGTCTTCCACCACCACCTACAGATCGTTGAATTAACCTCCAGACACAGGAATCCAAGGGCAGCTTTGGCTCTAAATGGGAGGGTCAGAGCCTGTGCCCAGAGAACTCTGCAGATAATGGCACCTTTTGACCCCAGCATTGAAATGACAGCTAGGGGAGTGGCTGCTGCCCAGGAGGATAGGCAGGGAGGCTATGCCAGGTAAGGCCAAGTTCCAGCCAAGCTAGAAGGACCTTAGGGTCAAGCAGTGGCAGAACAGGAGTCTGAGTTAAACACCTCATCCCCATGTAGAGGTCAGCTCCAAGCCAACCTGCCCTCCCCTTGACCCACACCGTCCTACACGTCTCCTCCCCAGGTAGCAAGGTAGCCTGTGGACACGGATGGTAGTCTCGTTGTATCGGGCTTGCACTGTGTTTGTGAAACACCTTCATACTTGTGTGTTTGTCTTTCTTTTCTTTTGGTTTAGTCTTGCATGTACTGTAGGTTTTATTGATCTGTTTGGGTTCCCAAAGCTTCCATTCTATCACTGTCTGAATGGCGTGGGCATAGCTAAGAGGCTATACTCTGGACTTAGGGTTTCCCCTTGTTCTGCTGGGGACTACAATCACTGATATTCCAACCAGATCTAAAGGATTAAAGTGCCCTCATGTTTCACCACTCACCTAGAGCAAATAATACAAAATGGGGATGGCTATATCTTGTCCTGGGTGTCATCATAAATGAGTTGGAAAAGCTAAACATAAAGCCTTTGATGAGACTCCTAGGTTAGCTGAGCTTAACCAGGGCTTCATCTTCTAGTCCCCTTTGGTTCTCTGTTACAGTACCGTCTGCCAGCATGACCCGGCTTGCCCGATCACGAACCCACTCAACCTCAAGTAGCATTGGCTCTGGAGAAAGTCCCTTCAGCCGGTCTGTCACCAGCAATCAGTCAGATGGAACTCAAGAATCCTGTGAGTCCCCTGATGTCCTGGACAGACACCAGACCATGGAGGTGTCCTGCTAAACAGATGCTCCTCCCCTGGATCATTGCAAGTCCATCCTTCTTCAAATGACCACTCCATAATATAACATTTCATCCAGTAAACTGGCCTCTACTATCTTTAACTCATGCATGGCCACTGAACCTCTCTCTAGTAGTCTGGATTTATCATTCTCTCTGCCTGCCCACCCCTTTTTTGTATATCCCAAGAACCACTTCCATGCCATACTGTAACATTCCAACATCTTTAGCTGATCAGATCTCTCCATATCCTCTCTTGCCAGCTTTTTTCCGTGCTCCCTCAACTATGTATCAGATAAGATTCTTTGATCCCGACTCTGTGTGTGTGCGAGCACGCGTGTCTGTGTTTGTGTGTGCATAGTTCTGTGGTTTTAGACATGCTTTCTTGTAGTGCTTCTGCAAAAAACGAAAAAGGGACTTATTTTGCATTCTCAATGGTTTTTTTAAGGGAATTAGGCAGAACAGATTTCTAGGTTGGGTAGGCCAACTGCATTCTCTTTTGTTTGCAAATTGGTCAAAATTTGCAGAGTGATTTCAGGAGAGAGCAGCTCTGAGGAATGTGGAAAATGATAATTACTGCCTGGACCATTGATTGATTGTGACCAATAGTAGAAGGCTGCCTGTTACATAGAGAGGCTCCTTCTGTCCAAATGAATTCCTGTATTCTACTCTATAAATAAAAGGGAGGAATATATTCTGCTGGAAGCCCATGAACCATCAGTGAGGTTCTGATACGACATAAGAGTTGTTTTCAAGGAGTGAGTGTGGCTTAATTACTGGACTCACTTAGCACAGGAAGGTGGAAAACGAAATGCCAGGCCTCTGCTCTGCAAGAACAAAACTGCTATTGCTGCAGTATCTGATACCAGACATCCACATATCCACAAGAAGTGCCTCTTAGGTCTATGATGAGAGTATTTCTCCATTCCTCGCTTCCCAGAAAAGGGAGAGGGATGGCTTAAAAAGCATGTAGATGGTGGAGAAATGGGTGGGAGGAGAGGAACAGCCATTAACATTGTATTATGTTTAATAAGCTTGATTTCAGCAGCCATATGGAAGCCAAATTAAATTAATACAGAACTCATTTATCAGAAAGAGTCTTTTTTTTGTTTGTCTGTCAGAATCTCGCTCTGCCGCGCAGGTTAGAGTGCAATGGCGCGAGCTTGGCTCACTGCAACTTCCGCCTCCCGGGCTCAAGCAGTTTTCCTCTCAGGTGGCTGAGAGGAGAACTCTTGTCTCAAGTGGCTGTGTCATCCCTGCCTGTGAGCTGGAACTGCAGGAGGAGCTGGTACTACAGGCACCTGCCATCACACCTGGCTAGTTTTTGTATTTTAGTAGAGATGGGGTTTCGCCATGTTGGCCAGGCTGGTCTCAAACTCCTGACCTCAGGTGATCCACCCACCTTGGCCTTCCAAAGTGCTGGGATTGTAGGTGTGAGTCATTGTGCCTGGCTGTAAGAAACATTCTTAATCTTATGAACTCCCTTTTGTAGGAAGGAAGGGGCCCATCTGTAGAGGCAGCCCTGTCCAGGTAAAGTAGTTTTCAGCCTCCTGTCTACTGTTAGGTTGAGGGAGTCACAGCCAGCCAGAGAGTATCATTGGAGGGTGAGAGAAAGAACTGTGGATACCAGCTGCCACATAGCAAGAGCCCAGCTCTTGGGAGCATTGAGATGTAAGCTCAGGGTTACACAGTTCCAAATCTTGGGAAGGGGCTTTTCAGACACATTGTTTGCTTTCTGCTGAGATAAGGAATGCATCACTCTGCCAGAGTATGACTTTTTACAGATTATTAAATAAAGCTGTATATGTCTCATTGTTACCTGATTGCTGGTATTATTTCTCTCAAGCCATTCACTGGGGTTCCGGGCGGGATCGAGTTGCTGTATGCTGGTGTTGGCATTTTCATGTGATTGCTTATCCACCAAGCGACACTGTCCATTTATAGGAGGAAATGAAGCCTGATGATAAATCATTTGCCCAAGGTCCTACAGCCAATAAGTCCAGCCAGGATTAAATCCCAGGGTATTATGCAGAATTCCATCTGATGTGTATGTATTTCCCTCAAGCCAAAAATCAGGAGAAGCCTGATAGTGTTGTTTGTGATGGAGTAGAAGCAGCTGAGGTCTTGAGAAGGTGGTCCATGTTGCAGCTCCACCACCTGCGTGGAATTGCTGGGTCCCACCTGTCATTTGATAATCTGCAACCACTTGTCTGGGTTCCTCTATGAGACCAGCCTGTGTTTCTCCAGAAATGGCTATATTTATACCTGTCAAGAATAATTTCAGGCCAGGTGTGGTGGCTCACACCTGTAATCCCAGCACTCTGGGAGGCCAGGGCAGGTAGATCACTTGAGGTCAGGAGTTCAAGACCAATCTGGCCAACATAGTGAAACACTGTTTCTACTAAAAATACATAAGTTAGCCGGTCATGGTGGTGCATGCCTATAATCTCATCTACTTGGGAGGCTGTGAGGCAGGAGAATCACTGGGAGGCAGAGGTTGCAGTGAGCCGAGATTGCGCCACTGCACTCTAGCCTGGGCTATAGAATGAGATTCCATTTAAAATCATCATCATAATAATTTTAAGAGACCACCATCTCAGATGAGTTTTTCAGTGACTCAGGGGCAAGTGCCAGCAAAAATGCATCTGGATTGCTGCACATGCGAAAGGCATTCGTAAAATGACATGGACCCTACCCATGTTGGCAGAGGAGTTGAAACAAATGCATTTGAACAGATGCAGATTACCAAGCCGACACCTGATGATGCAGGCTCGTGCTCCACAGAATGCTGACCTGGGAAGGATTTGATCTCATGGCCTCAGTTGCCCTTTGTTTTTTGTTGGGTTATGTTTTGTTTTCAGACAGAGTCTTGTTCTGTCACCCAGGCTGGAGTGCAAGTGGCACAATTTCCACTCACTGCAACCTCTGCCTCCTAGGTTCAAGCAATTCTCCTGTCTCAGCCTCCCAAGTAGCTGGGACTACAGGAATGTGCCACCAAGCACAGCTAATTTTTTGTAGAGATGGGGTTTGGCCATGTTGGCCAGGCTGGTCTGGAACTCCTGACTTTTAAGTAATCCATGCACCTCAGCCTCCCAAAGTGCTTAAATTACAGGCATGAACCATCACACTGGGCCTTTTTTTTTTTTTTTTTTTTTTTTGGACAGTGTCACCCAAGCTGGATGGCAGTGGTGTGATCATTGCTCACTGCAGCCTCAAACTCCCAGGCTCAAGCCATCCTCCCACTTCAGCTTCTTGAGTAGCAGGGACTACTGGCATGCAACACCATACCTGGCTAATTTTTTATTTTTTGTAGAGACAGGGTATCACTTCATTGCCCAGGCTGGACTTGAACTCCTGGCCTCGAGTGATCTTCTTGCCTCAGCCTCCTAAAATGCTAGGATTCCAAGTGTGGGAATCAGCCTTTTATTGAGCATCTCTATAGGCCAGGCCCTTAACGTCTTCCTATAGATTTCCTTCTATTGATTCAGTGAGATACATCCTATTCCCATTTTATGGATACAGAAACAGGCCCAGAAATAACTAGTTTGTAAATGGTCACAAAACTAGTAAGTGGCAATACGGGAAACAGTTTCTTCCACTACACTCAACACTTCTGTGACTAAATGTGTGGGCTTTTTTCCCATACCAACCAAGGCTTCAACACCCCAGACAGTAGGTGTCCTAAATTCAATTATGACACCAGCTTCCTGGAGTTAGACCCCACAGGTTAAGGGTTCAGACCCACAAGACTGTCCCCTGCTTCACATGCCAGTTGCAAGCAGTGGATCCCCAGGTTACTCACACTTCTGTTCAACCTAGCTGCAAATTGGACCTCCTTCCTCAGATTTGTTAGTTTGCTAAGATTGCTCACAGACTCAGGGAAACACTAAATTTACAGGTTTATTATTCTAAAGGATATAAGGCAGGGTGTGGTGGCTCACACCTGTAATCCTGGCACTTTAGGAAGCCAAGGCAGGAGGATCATTTGAGCCTAGGAGTTTAAGACCAGCCTGGGCAACATAGTGAGACTCGTGTCTCTATTCTAGAAACAGAAAAAAAATACATATCAAAAAAATACATATTTAAAAAAATAAAAAGGCAAGATTAGAGAAAAAAATAAAAAGCGAACAAAGCCTCCAAGAAATCTGGGATTATGTGAAAAGACCTAATCTACGTTTGATAGGTGTACCAGAATGTGGCGGAGAGAATGAATCCAAGCTGGAAAACACTCTTCAGGATATTATCCAGGAAAACTTCCCCAACCTAGCAAGGCAGGCCAATATTCAAGTCCAGGAAATACAGAGAACACCACAGATATTCCTCAAATGAGCAACCCCAAGGCACATAATCGTCAGATTCACCAGAGTTGAAGGAAAAAATGCTAAGGGCAGCCAGAAAGAAAGTTCGGGTTACCCACAAAGGGAAGCTCATCAGACTCACAGCGGATCTAAGCAGAAACCCTACAAGCCAAAAGAGAGTGGGGACCAGTATTCAACATCCTTAAAGAAAAGAACTTTCAGCTTAGAATTTCATATCCAACCAAACTAAGTTTCATAAGCGAAACAGAAATAAAATCCTTTATGAACAAGCAATTGCTCAGAGATTTCATCACCACCAGGCCTGCTTTACAAGAGCTCCTGAAAGAAGCACTAAACATAGGAACAACCAGTACCGGCCACTCCAAAAACATACCAAATGGTAAAGAGCATCGACACAATGAAGAAACTGCATCAACTAACGGGCAAAACAACCAGCTAGCATCAAAATGGCAGGATCAGATTCACGTATAACAATATTAACCTTAAATGTAAATGGGCTAAATATCCCAATCAAAAGACACAGACTGGCAAATTGGATAAAAAGTCAAAACTCATCTCACATGCAAGGATACACATAGGCTCAAAATAAAGGGATGGAGGAAGATTTACCAAGCAAATGGAGAGCAAAAAAAAAGCAGGAGTTGCAATCCTAGTCTCTGATAAAATAGACTTTAAACCAAGAAAGATCAAAAGAGACAAAGAAGGATGTTACATAATGGTAAAAGTGTCAATGCACAAGAAACGATCCTAAATATAGATGCAACCAATACAGGAGCACTCAGATACATAAAGCAAGTTCTTATGACTTACAAAGAGACTTAGACTTCCACACAATAATAGTGGGAGACTTTAACACTCCACTGACAATATTAGACAGATCAACAGGACAGAAAATTAACAAGGATATACAGGACCTGAACTCAGACCTGGAACAAGCAAACCTAATAGACATTTGCAGAACTCTCCACCCCAAATCCACAGAATATACATTCTTCTCAGCACCACACCATACCTACTCTAAAATTGACCACATAATTGGAAGTAAATCACTCCTCAGCAAATGCAAAAGAACAGAAATCATAACAGTCTCTCAGACCACAGTATAATCAAATTAGAACTCAGAACCTAACTCAGAACTGCACAACTTCACGGAAACTGTACAACTGGCTGTTGAATGTTGACTGGATAAATAATGGAATGAAGGCAGAAATACAGATGTTCTTCGAAAGCAACAAGAACGAAGACATAGCATACCAGAATCTCTGGGACACATTTAAAGCAGTGTCTAGAAGAAAATATATAGCAATAAATGCCCATATGAGAAGCAAAGAAGGATCTAAAATTGGCACCCTATCATCAAAATTGAAAGAACTAGAGGAGCAAGATAAAAAAAAAACTCAAAACCTAGAAGAAGACAAGAAATAACTAAGATCAGAGCAGAACTGAAGGAGATATATCAAAAACACTTCAAAAAATCAATAAATCCAGGAGCTGGTTTTTTGAAAAGATCAACAAAACAGACAGATCACTAGCCAGATTAATAAAAAAGAAGAGAGAATAATCAAATAGATGCAATAAACCACCGTCAGAGATTACTACAAACAACTCTATGCACATAAACCAATAAACCTGGAAGAAGTGTATAAATTCCTGGACACTTGCATCCTCCCAAGCCTAAACCAGAAAGAAGTCGAAACCCTGAATAGACCAATAACAAGAGTTGAAGTTGAGGCAGCAATAGCCTACCAATCAAAAAACCCCAGGTCCAGATGGGTTCACAGCCAAATTCTACCAGACATACAAAGAGGAGCTGGTACCACTCCTGAAACTATTCCAAACAATCCAAAAAGAGGGAATCCTTCCCAAATCATTTTATGAGACCAACATCATCCTGATACCAAAACCTGGCAGAGACTCAAAAAGAAAAGAAAACTTCAAGCCAATATCCGTGATGAACATAGATGCAGAAATCTTCAATAAAATACTGGCAAACCGCCGGGCGCGGTGGCTCAAGCCTGTAATCCCAGCACTTTGGGAGGCTGAGGCGGGTGGATCACGAGGTCAGGAGATCGAGACCATCCTGGTCAACACGGTGAAACCCCGTCTCTACTAAAAATACAAAAAATTAGCTGGGCATGGTGGCGCGTGCCTGTAATCCCAGCTACTCGGGAGGCTGAGGCAGGAGAATTGCCTGAACCCAGGAGGTGGAGGTTGCGGTGAGCCGAGATCGCGCCATTGCACTCCAGCCTGGGTAACAAGAGCGAAACTCCGTCTCAAAAAAAAAAAAAAAAAAAAAAAAAAAAAAAAAAAAAATACTGGCAAACCGATTGCAACAGCACATCAAAAAGCTTATCCATCACGATCAAGGAGGCTTCATCCCAGCGATGCAAGGCTGGTTCAGCATACACAAGTCTGTAAACGTAATTCACCACATAAACAGAACCAAAGACAAAAACCACACGATTATCTCAATAGACGCAGAGAAGGCCTTTGACAAAATTCAACAGCCCTTTATGCTACAAACTCTCAGTAAACTAGGTATTGACGGAACGTATCTCAAAATAATAAAAGCTATTTATGACAAACCCACAGCCAGTATGATATATACTGAATGGGCAAAAACTGGAAGCATTCCCTTTGAAATCTGGCACTAGACAAGGATGCCCTCTCTCACCACTCCTATTCAACATAGTATTGGAAGTTGTAGCCAGAGCAATCAGGCAAGAAAAAGAAATAAAGCTTATTCAAATAGGAAAGGAGGAAGTCAAATTGTCTCTATTTGCAGATGACATGATTGTATATTTAGAAGACCCCATCATCTCAGCCCAAAATCTCCTGAAACTGATAAGCAACTTCAGCAAAGTCTCAGGATACAAAATCAATGTGCAAAAATCACAAGCATTCCTATACACCAATAACAGACTTAAAGAGAGCCAAATCAAGAACAAACTGCCATTCACAATTGCTACAAAAAGAATAAAATACCTAGGAATATAACAAAGAATGTAAAGGACTTCTTCAAGGAGAACTACAAAGCACTGCTCAAGGAAATAAGAGAGGACACAAACAGATGGAGAAACATTCCATGCTCATGGCTAGGAAGAATCAATATCATGAAAATGGTCATACTGCCCAAGGTAATTTATGGATTCAACGCTATCCCCATCAAGCTACGAATGATCTTCTTCACAGAACTGGAAAAAACCACCTTAAACTTCATATGGAACCAAAAGAGAGCCTGTATAGCCAAGTCAATTCTAAGCAAAAGAACAAACTACTGCTGGGCGCGGTGGCTCAAGCCTGTAATCCCAGCACTTTGGGAGGCCGAGGCGGGTGGATCACGAGGTCGAGAGATCGAGACCATCCTGGTCAACATGGTGAAACCTCGTCTCTACTAAAAAATACAAAACATTAGCTGGGCATGGTGGCTCATGCCTGTAATCCCAGCTACTCAGGAGGCTGAGGCAGGAGAATTGCCTGAACCCAGGAGGCGGAGGTTGCAGTGAGCCGAGATCGCGCCATTGCACTCCAGCCTGGGTAACAAGAGCGAAACTCCGTCTCAAAAAAAAAAAAAAAAAAAAAGGGAGGGAGGGAAAAGAAAAAAAAAAAGAAAGAAAGTTTTCCTGTCATGTCCGGACGCTGTGGCTCGCGCCTGTAATCCCAGCACTTTGGGAGGCCGAGGCAGGCGGATCATGAAGTCAGGAGATCAAGACCATCCTGGCTAACACGGTGAAACACCATCTCTACTAAAAATATTTTTTAAAAAATATCCAGGCATGTTGGTGGGCACCTGTAGTCTCAGCTAATCAGGAGGCTAAGGCAAGAGAATCGCTTGAACCCAAGAGGCAGAGGTTGCACTGAGCTGAGATCACACCACTGTACTCCAGCCTGGGTGACAGCAAGACTCCGTCTCAAAAAAAAAAAAACAAAAAAACTTTGCCTGGCATAGGAAGATGGGCATTAGAGTTGTATGGCAGCAGGAGTGGGAAGGTGGGCTTGAGCTCAAGTCCCTCCCTGCTAAGGGCCACATCCCTGAGTGGCTGTCACCCATTCTAACATTATTGGGCTGTCACCCATTAGAACTTTATTGCAATGGTGTGCCTCCACTCTGACTCCTTCAGCTCTCTACGCCAAGTGCCAACAAAGATAAAAATCAAACCAGCCTTCCCCAGGTTCCCCAGAATCAAGGGAGAACCTCAGCAGGAGTGCTCTAGCTGGCAAGGCCCCAGAAAGGGCTGCATGGGCTGAGCTGGAGTCAGGTGTCATTTCAATGTAGTGGGCCCTTTGTCTCCAGGAATACTAATCCCCCTAATGGGGAAACAGTGAGAAGGTGTGGTTAAATCTCAATGAAGTGTGGACTGAATGTAACACATTAATCAAAGACAATTCAGTCAGAATTAGATTCTTTATCCTAGAGCAGTGATTCTCAAGCTTGGGCATGAACTGTGGCTCATGCTGGTCTGATAATCCCAACACTTTGGGAGGTGGAGGCAGGAGGGCCAGTTGAGGCCAGGAGCTTGAGACCAGCCTGGGCAACACAGTGAAACCTCGTCTCTACAAAAAAATTTAAAATTAGCCAGGAGTGCTGGTGCACACCTGTAGTCCTAGCTACTCAAGGCTGAGAAGGGAGGATTACTTGACCCTGGGTCAAGTCTGCAGTGAGCTATGATTGTGCCATTGCACTCCATCCTGGGCAACAAAGCGAGACATGTCAAAAAAAAAAAAAATCAAGCTTGGGCATTCATCAGAATCACCTGGCGGTATGAAAACAGATCACCAGGCCTACCCCCAGAGTTTGAGTCCGTAGATCTGAAATGTGGCCTGAGAATTTGCATGTCTAACGAATTCCCACTGAGGCTGCTGGTCTAAGGACCACACTTTGAGACCACTGTCCAGATACTGCTATTCAAAGTGTGGTCCCCAGACTGGCAACATGGGTGTCACCTGGGAGCTTATTAGAAATGCAAAATATTGAACTCCACCCTAGACCTACCGAATCAGAACCTGCAGTTTAACAAGATCTCCAAGTGATTCCTATACACATTAAAGATTGAGAAGGCAGTGCTTCCCAAACTTGCCCATCAAGGGAATCTCTTGGAGGGTTTACAATTTAGATTCCTCGGCTCCCTCTCTGATGACTTGAATTTAGAAGGTGTGGGACTTCCCAGAGATTGCTACAATTAAGCCCCTCTGGATGACTATTGTGGTCAGGCCAGCATGGGAACTCCTGTTCATTTTCCTCAGTCCTGTGTTCCTTGGACAAGACCAAGCCACAAAGCCAGAGAAAAACCTTTAGCTCCACAATCGCGACAAGACAGCAGCTGCTCCCCTAGAAACAGGAACTCGGGGAAGGTGGCTCCTCGATGGTCTGTGATGCCGTCAGAGGAAACGAGTGGTTGTGAGAACCACAGAGTCTGCAGACGGAGCTGGAGCTCCAAGGACCCTGTGCCTATGTCTCTATGGTAGAGCTCAAAGGGCCCTGGGCCTTCCTCCCTGGCTCGGTTGTGCTTGGGAGGGTTCCCCAGTCCAGATTTCATAAGGAGCATGGGACAGCTGATCCATTCCTGGTGTACAAACTGCTGACCACAGGCGGTTGCTGAGCTACCCAAACCAGCACCTAGCCTCTCCCTGAAGATCCTCCCAGGCTGAAAGAGTTCTGGGTGCCCTAGCACCAAGAACACTGGCAGACTTCCAGAAGGTCCCTGAAAGCCCTAACCTGTTCAGCCAGAGGATGCATCTCAGCGGAGCCCTCTTCCCAAGCCCTTGAGGACAAACCAGTAAGTACACTTGGTTTTGTTTTCAGGTAGCCTGGCGACAGGTGAGGAAGAATGGGCTCCCTGGCCCAGACTGGGACTGGGCTTTATTTGCAGGTGGGAAAAAAACGAGCTCAAGGAGAATGGGAAGTGGCTCTACTGAGGCTGTAAAGAGGGGTGGTTTCTGGGGGTCCCAGAAGAACCAAGACTTATCTGCTCTACCTTTGACTGCGTGTTGGAGATTACATCCTTCCCTGCAGCTTGTCTTCACACCCATCCTAGTCTCATCTCGGTTGTGTACTTGCTGTGTGACTTTGGGCCCCTCTGTGCTGCAGTCAGACTCCAAAGTCAGGAACGCGAGGGCTATTGTCTCTCAAGACATTTCAGCTGTAGAGCCTACAGTGAAATCTCACTCTCAAAAGGGTGATATTTTTCAGTTGAGAGAGGGAGAAGTCTCCCTTTAACTCAATCCAAATTCATTATTATTATTATTATTATTTGAGTTGGGGTCTTGCTCTGTCACCCAGGCTGGAGTGCAGTGGCAGGATTATGACTAACTGTAGGCTTGAACCCCTGGGCTCAAGCGATTCTCCCGCCTCAGCCTCCTGAGTAGCTGGGACTTCAGGCATGTACCACCATGCCCAGCTAATTTGTTATATTTTATAGAGATAAAGCGGTGGGGGAGCGGTCCTCACTATGTTGCCCAGACTGTTCTCGAACTCCTGGCCTCAAGCAATCCTCCTGAACCAGAAAGCCTCCTGAATTGCTGCGATTAAAGGCATGAGCCACCGTGCCTGGCCAAATTCATCACTCTTACCCCCACCCCTGAAAAATGATCTTAAGAAGCACAAAATACACATGACAGCAGGCCCAGCCCTGCACGAATGGGCTACATGACCAGAAAAGCACAAGGTCCTCTCAAGGACTTGTTGGTCACTGTATCTGAAATGGGACCCAAGTGAGACATTAAAATATATATAAATATTTATATTATGGGCAGTGTGCTGATCTCGGTGCCTTTGACTAACTTTTTCCTTTCACCCAGTGTCTCATGTCCTCCGGAAAGTGCCTGGCACATAGTAAGTTGCTAAAAAATTTGTGTCATTAATGATCAGATGCTGTCTTATAAAAGTTGCGACTAATACTGCCTTCTTCTAGGCCTGCCCACCGCAGTCTTTATTTTGCCCCCAGGGGCATCTTTGCCTTAATTTGCCTGAGTCCTTGCTTTCAGCCTGAGTATAGCTCCCCAGCCCCCAGCTCCACCTGCGGCAGGAAGGAGCCTCTGGGTCTATTGCAGGTGGTGATTGTGGTCTTCCTGAAGGAGGGGAAAGGAAACTAAGCCTTACTGAGCACCCATTCCGTGCCAGACTCCTGCAACACAGTCCTGTGGTGCCTATAGAGCACCCTCATTCACAGATGAGATGCAGGAAGCTTGCATGCTTTGCCTGAGACCATGCAGCTCCAACCAGGTTCAAGGGAGCACTCATGCTACCCAAGGCAGAGGTTCTCTCCCTGAAGTTTCCTGGTCTTAGGATTGTAAAAAACCTCCTCAGGAGGATTACTTGAGCCTAGGAATTTGAGACCAGCCTGGGCAACACAGCAAGACCCCTATAATTTAAAACAAAACCAAAAAGCCTCCTCAAGAACAGCAGCGCCATCACAGTGTACCCAGGCTGCAGGATCCTTAAGGTCTGAGCAGGAAGTGGCTGTCAGGAGCCATTTCCATGTGATATGCCCATTCTGTGTTCAAGAGCTTCCTTCAAGATGAATGCTGAACTTCCCATAGGGAGGCAGCAGCAAGCAGGTTTTTTGTTTTTTTGAGACAGAATCTCACTCTGTTGCCCAGGCTGGAGTGCAGTGGCACAATCTCGGCTCACTGCAGTCTCTGCTACTCAGGTTCAAGCAATTTTTTTGCCTCAGCCTCCCAAGTAGCTGGGATTACAGGCACCCGCCACCATGCCTGACTTATTTTTATATTCACCATGTTGGCCAGACTGATCTTAAATACCTGACCTCATGTGATCTGCCCACCTTAGCCTCCTGAAGTGTTGGGATTACAGGTGTAAGCCATCACTCCCAGCTCATTTTTGTATTTTTAGTAGAGGCAGGGTTTTACCATGTTGGCCAGGCAGGTCCAAAACTCCTGACCCCCATGTGATCTACCTGTCTCAGCCTCCCAAAGTGCTAGGATTACAGGCGTGAGCCACCACACCTGGCCCAGGTATTGTTATTCCCATGTCAATTAAAGGCTGAAGAATAGAGGGCTCTTCCAGCTTCTAAGGTAGGATCTTTACCCCCCAAACAGGACTGGCCCAGGAGGCCACAGAAATCACTCCATGATATTGATAGATAACCATCCTCATCCAGGCAGTGTGGGATTCAAAGGCAAGGAAGGAGCCCACTCTGTCACAGCCCCATTCAGTGAGCTCCTCCAGGGTAAGAAGCATGGATTCCTCCTCCAGGGACCGCCAGCCCTTGGCAGGTGCCTGACACAGAGCAGGAGCTCCATGAATACCAGAGCTGCATTGGGTCAAACGTGTAATTGTGCCTTGTCCCTACTGAAAACAATGAAACCATCTGAAAAGAAATACAAAGCTCTGCTTCCCACTCCTCAAACAAAATACAGTGTTTGGGAAAATCAGCACTACCCTGGGAATCTGGGAATTTAAACTATTCTAAGGATAAGACACCTGTCAGAAGAACTAACAGTCTCATTTAGTTAATGTGTACCAGTGCCTTCTGTCATGCCTTACTAAATGCTGAGTAATAGGCAAACAAAAGAAGTCCTTGTCCTTTTGCAGTTACAGGATAGTGGCAGATTAAACAAGTAAACTCTCAAATGAATGATGAAAACTTTCGAAGAGAGGCTGGGTGCCATGGCTCACACCTGTAATCCCAGGACTTTGGGAAGCTGAAGTGGGAGGAGTTTAGGACCAGCCTGGGCAACATGGCAAGAGCCCATAACTTAAAACTTGCAAAGAAGCTAGTTGTGGTGGCAGCTAATGCCTGTAATCATAGCTGAGGTGGGAGGAACCCCTGAACCCAGGAGTTCAAGGGTGCAATGAGCTAGGACCGTGCCACTCACTGTAGCCTGGGTGACAGAGCAAGACCTTCTGGGGAGGCTCCCAGGAGAGGCCTCTGATGAAGTGACATTCAGGACGTGGTAAAGGAAACATGGGGCTGGCTAGGGTTTTCATGTGCATTATCTCTTGGACCTATATGTTGAATGTCGTTATCCCTATGTTTCAGATGAGGAAAAGGGGGCACAGAGAGGGGAAGTGGCTCAACAGTCAGTCCCCCAGAGCCCTGCAAGTCATCACTGCATCATACAACCCCACAGTCCATTTTTTTTTTTTTTTTTTGAGACAGCATCTCACTCTGTTGCCCAGGCTGGAGTGCAGTGGCATGATCTTGGCTCACTGTGAACTCCATCTCCCAGGCTCAAGCAATCCTCCTGCCCTCCCACCTCAGCCTCCTGAATAGCTGGAACTACAGGTGTGCGCCACCACACCCAGCTAATTTTTGTAGGATTTTTGGTAGAGATGGGATTTCACTATGTTGGCCAGGCTGGTCTTGAACTCCTGAGCTCAAGCAGTCAGACCCCCTCGGCCTCTTAAAGGGATCAGCCTCTTACTAAGTGCTCACCCCTGTAATCCCAGCAACTCAGGAGGCTGAGACAGGTACTCTTACTTGGCCTGTGACACTAACAACAGTGTGTCCGTGTCACCTTTGCTTGCTGTGACAACAGCTCTCAAGCCTGCCCAGATCCCCCTTGCAGACCTCTTTTTTTTTTCTTTTTTTTTTTTTTTTTGAGAGGGAGTCTCTCTCTCTTGCCCATGCTGGAGGCTGGAGTGCAGTGGCCCAATCTCAGCTCACTGCAACTTCAGCCTCCCAGGTTCAAGCAATTCTCCTGTCTCAGCCTCCCTCCTGAGTAGATGGGACTACAGGTGCATGCCACCATGCCCAGCTAATTTTTGTGTTTTTAGTAGAGGTGAGGTTTCACCATATTGGTCAGGCTGGTCTCTAACTCCTGATCTCAGTTGATCCACCCACCTTGGTCTCCCAAAGTACTGAGATTATAGGCATCAGCCACTGTGCCCAGCCCCTCTTGAAGACCTCTGACCCAAGCCACAGGTCCTGGTATGCCTGGAGGGAGCTCTCCTGTCATTGTCCCTTGCCACCCAGTAGCAGAGTATGATCCTGGGTCAGAGAAAAGGTTCTAAGTGAGCCATAGGAATTCAAAGGAGTGATCAACAAAGGCTGGGGGGCTGGGAAGGCTTCCTGGGGAAGGAAGAATGGAATCCAAACAGAACTGAAGGAGAGGAGAGGGCATGACTGACCATGGGAGGGACACAAGTAGAGGCCCAGAAAGAAATGTGCCTGTTGTGGCATAAAAAGATGAGATGTGCAGAAAACAAGGTCCAATATGCAGGAAGCCTTCAGGGTCTGGTAGAGAGGCTGGAGCCTGGTCCCACAGGAGGGAGGTCATTCACATGCTCTGTGAGGAGACAGCCAGGGCCGATCTGGGGAGGGAGGGGTATCTGAGATCAGGGCAGGAGCCTCGGCTCTGTCCACAACACGGTGTCTCTTTCAGATTTCCCTCGATGATGTGCTTCTGTGTGCTCTGCTGAGGAACAATGGGAAGTCTGCCCAGCAGAAGAAAATCCCTGCCAAGTCCAAGCTTGAGCCCTTCTTTCCAAGGCCAGGGACCTGTGTCCATGGAAGCAGGTAGGCCTTGGGGTCTGCTACAGCCAGGCCCTTCCCACACAGTCCTAGATGTCACTGCCTCTGTGGGCCTTCCTGGCCAGCAGCTCCAACACAGCGTAAGCACCACTGAGTGCCTGCTACATACCAGGCCCTGCCTACTGAGCCATGCAGCAGGGTCCTTGTTCCTGTGGAGCCTACCTTAGCAGTAAGAACAGTCAACAACCAGATAAATAAGAAAATAGGAGAAAGCAACAGGCACAAAGCAGAATATTAAACCAGGAGGGCATGATAATCCCCCAGGCATTCCCCAAGGCTTCCCTCCTCCTCAACCAGTTGTTTATCCAAACACCAAGCTGGCCAGCCCCACCTCTGCAGCCCCCTAGAGCTGAACTGTCCATTGCAGTAGCCACCAGCTACATGCAACTGCTTAAACTTAAAATTTTAGGCCAGGGTCGGGCATGGTGGCCTGTAATCCCAGCACTTTGGGAGGGCGAGGTGGGCAGATCACCTGAGGTCAGGAATTCAAGACCAGCCTGGCCAACATGGTGAAACCCGTCTCTACTCAAAATAAAAAAATTAGCCGTTCCTGGTGGCACATGCCTGTAATCCCAGCAACTCAGGAGGCAGGGAAAAAGAATCACTTGAACCTGGGAGGTGGAAGTTGCAGTGAGCCGAGATTGCATCACTGCACTCCAGCCTGGGCGACAGAGTGAGAATCTATCTCAAAAAAATAAAATTAAATAAAACATCTTTAATCACCCCAGTCATATTTTAAGTGCTCAATAGCACATATAGCAAGTGACCACCTTGTTAGACAGTACAGAATTGCGGAACATTTCCATTGTTGCAGAAAGTTTTGCTATACTGTTTTAATGGACCTAAGAGGTACCGTGTAATTACCTGAAGTGAAATTAGGTCTGTCTCTTTTATTTTTATGATGGTGGGTGTTGTTTTTGGGTTTTTTTGTTGTTGTTTTTGTTTTATTGTTGTTTTATTTTTTGAGACGGAGTCTCGCTGTGTCGACAGGCTGGAGTACAGTGGCGCAGTCTCAGCTCACTGCAATCTCTACCTCCCAGGTTCAAGCAATTCTCCTGTCTCCCAAGTAGCTGGGATTACAGGCACGCACCACTACACCCAGATAATTTTTATATTTTTAGTAGAGACGGGGTTTCACCATGTTGGCCAGGATGGTCTCCATCTCTTGACCTCATGATCCGCCTGCCTCAGACTGCCAAAGTGCTGGGATTACAGGCGTCAGCCACCGCACATGGCCTCCTGGATAATTTTTTAAATTATTTGTAGAGATGGGGTCTCCCTATGTTGCCAGACTGGTCTTGAACTCTTGGGCGCAAGTGATCCTCCCGCCTTGGCCTCTTGAAGTGCTGAGATTTCAGGCATGAGCTACTGCACCTGGCCAGGGCTGTGTTTTGCTTTGTTTTGTTTTGTTTTTTTTTTGAGACAGAGTCTCGCCCTTGTTGCCCAGGCTGGAGTGCAATGGCACGATCTCGGCTCACTGCAACCTCCATCTCCCGGGCTCAACCAATTCTCCTGCCTCAGCCTCCCAAGTAGCTGGGATTACAAGCGCATGCTACCATGCCCAGCTAACTTTTGTATTTTTAGTAGAGACAGGGTTTCACCATGTTGCCCAGGCTGGTTTCGAACTCCTGACTTCAGGTGATCCACCTGCCTCAGCCTCCCAAAGTGCTGGGATTACAGGCGTGACCCACTGCACCTGGCCCTTGCCAGGGCTGTCGTAGTGGGGGAAGATAGCATATACAATGCATATACATTGCTGAGTCTATAACTGTGATTTTCTAAGAGTCTTGACTAAAACTCCCAGTTTTAGGACAGTTGAACAATCAAAATATCCTAGCAATTCTAGTATTTTGATGTTGGTACTATGGCCCCAGGTCTGTTTCTTGTTCTCCATAACAGGCAACAAATCCTTTCTCAAGTCACATCTTTATTAGGATTTCAATAATGTATTAAATTCTCCAAGAAACAGAACCAATAGGTGGTGGTGGTAGTGGGGTAGTGTGTGTGTGTGTGTGTGTGTGTGTGTGTGTGTGTGTGTGTGTGTGTGTACTACATTTATTTTTGAGGAGCTGGCCCACATGATTGTGGAGGCTATAAGTCTGAAATCTGCAGGGCAGGCTGGAGACCCAGGGAAGAGCTGATGCTACAGTCCTAAGTCCAACCGCAGTCTGGAGGCAGAATTCCTTCTTCCTCAAAGGACGTCAGTCTTGTTATTTTAAGGCCTTCAACTGATTGCATGGGGTCCACCCACATTATGGGAGGGTCATCTGCTTTACTCAGACTACTGATTTAAATTGAATCTCATCTTTAAAAATATCTTCATAGCAATATCTAGACTGGTATTTGACCAAATATCTGGGTTGTGTGGCCTAGCCACAATGACACATAAAATCAACCAGCACAGTTAACAAGATCACACTACTTCACAGTGTATTTTCTCGCTCTCCTGGACAGAGCCTAGGGACATGTACTTTATATGGCTCTTGTACAAGGTTTGCTACTGGGACTTTGGTTAAATCGCCTAAATTGACTGAGTGTTCAGGCCTGTAATCCCAGCACTTTGGGAGGCTGAGGCAGGTGGGTCACCTGAGGTCAGGAGTTTGAGACCAGCCTGACCAATATGGTGAAACTCCATCTCTACTAAAAATACAAAAATTAGCCAGGCATGGCAGCACAACCTGTGATCCCAGCTACTCATGAGGCTGAGGCAGGAGAATCACTTGAACCCTGGAGATGGAGGTCTCAGTGAGCCAAGATCACACTATTGCACTCCAGCCTGGGCAACAAAAGCAAGACTCTGCCAAAAAAACAAAACAAAACCAAAAAAAAAGCTGGGCACAGTGGCTCATGCCTGTAATCCCAGCACTTTGGGAGACTGAGGCGGGTGGATCATGAGGTCAGGAGTTTGACACCAGCCTGGACAATATGGTGAAATTCCATCTCTACTAAAAATACAAAAATTAGCCAGGCATGGTGGTATACCCCTGTAGTCCAAGCTACTTGGGAGGCTGAGGCAGGAGAATTGCTTGAACCCAGGAGGCGGTGGTTGCTGAGAGCCCAGATTGTGCCACTGCACTCCAGTCTGGGCCACAGAGTGAGACTCCATCTCAAACAAAAACAAAAACAAAAACAAAACTTAGGTATGGTGGCACCCACCTGTAGTCCCAGCTACTTGGAAGGCTTAGACAGAAGAATCGCTCAAACCCGGGAGATAGAAGCTGCAGTCAACCAAAATTGCAGCACTGCTTTCCAGCCTGGGTGACAGAGTGAAACCTTGTCTTTTTTTTTTTTTTTTTTTTTTTTTGAGACAGAGTTTCACTTTTGTTACCCAGGCCGGATTGCAATGGTGCGATCTCGGCTCACGGCAACCTCCACCTCCTGGATTCAGGCAATTCTCCTGCCTCAGCCTCCTGAGTAGCTGGGATTACAGGCACGCACCACCATGCCCAGCTAATTTTTTGTATTTTTAGTAAAGATGGGGTTTCACCATGTTGACCAGGATGGTCTCAATCTCTTGACCTCGTGATCCACCCTCCTTGGCCTCCCAAATTGCTGGGATTACAGGCTTGAGCCACCGTGCCCAGCTGTCTTTTTTTTTTTTTTTAAGACAGAGTTTCACATTGTCACCCAGGCTGGAATGCAACGGCACCATGTTGGCTCACTGCAACCTCTGCTTCCCGGGTTCAAGTAATTCTCCTGCTTCAGCCTCCCAAGTAGCTGGGATTACAGGGACCCACTATGACACCTGGCTAATCTTTTTATATTTTTAGTAGAGACAGGGTTTCACCATGTTGGCCAGGCTGGTCTCAAGCTCCAAACCTCAGGTGATCTGCCCACCTCAGCCTCCCAAAGTGCTGGGATTACAGGCATGAACCAGTGCACCTGGCCTGCGACACCCTGTCTTAAAAACAAAACAAGGAAAATCCCCTATATTGCAGGGACTTCTCTCCTTCCCCTCAGCCCAAGCCCCCAGTATCCTTATCTCCCTAATTCCAGCCTTGCCCAGGCTCACACGCCATGACCCCCTGAGCCCTGTAGGACTCCTGGTGGAGAGGCAGCTGCCTCCTTTTAGCCACCTCATCTGCACTGAGAGGCCGTGCAGGAAGGAGACCGGGAAACCATGCAGACTCCACCTTCGTGGAGGATTCATGGATGGGGTTGCCCAAAACACACTCCTCCCTGGACTGAGGATAGAGCGTGATGGAGAGGAGGGCATAGCTCTCCGAGGCCCCACAGGCAGGGAAGGCTCTGCCCACGGACAGGGGTGGTCACCACCCTGAGCAGCCCCAGGCATGACTCAGAGTGGCCTCAGGACCTCTGCCTACAGTTAGATCCAGAGGAATCCAAGATGAGGAAAAACCAGGCAAAAAGGCTGAAATAACCAGCTAGCATCATAATGACAGGATCAGATTCACACATAGTAATATTGACCTTAAATGTAAGTGGGCTAAATGGCCCAATTAAAAGACACAGACTGGCAAATTGGATAAAGAGTCAAGACCCATCTCACATGCAGAGACACACATAGACTCAAAATAAAGGGATGCGGTATATTTACCAAGAAAGTGAAATGCAAAAAAAAAAGCAGGGGGTGCAGTCCTAGTCTCTGATAAAACAGACTTTAAACCAACAGAGATCAACAAAGACAAAGAGGGGCATTACGTAATGGTAGAGGGATCAATGCAATAAGAAGAGCTAACTAGGGCCGGGCGCAGTGGCTCAAGCCTGTAATCCCAGCACTTTGGGAGGCCGAGGGTGGATCATGAGGTCAAGAGATTGAGACCATCCTGGTCAACATGGTGAAACCCCGTCTCTACTACAAATACAAAAAAAATTAGCTGGGCATGGTGGCACGTGCCTGTAATCCCAGCTACTCAGGAGGCTGAGGCAGGAGAATTGCCTGAACGCAGGAGGCGGAGGTTGCGGTGAGCTGAGATCGCGCCATTGCACTCCAGCCTGGGTAACAAGAGTGAAACTCCGTCTCAAAAAAAAAAAAAAAAAAGAGCTAACTATCCTAAATACATATGCACTCAATACGGAAGCACTCAGATTCATAAAGCAAGTTCTTAGAGATCTACAAAGAAACTTAGACTCCTACACAATAATTGAGGGGACTTTAATACCCCACTATCAATAGTAGACAGATTAACAAGACAGAAAATTAACAAGGATATTCAGGACTGAACTCAGCTCTGGAACAAGCAGACCTAATAGACATCTATAGAACTCTCCACCCACCGGCTGGCCTCAGTGGCTCACACCTGTAATCCCAGCACTTTGGGAGGCCAAGGCACGCAGATCATAAGGTCAGGAGGTTGAGACCATCCAGGCTGACATGGTGAAAGCCCGTCTCTACTTAAAAAATACAAAAAATTAGCCAGGTATGGTGGCATGTGCCTGTAGTCCCAGCTACTCAGAAGGCTGAGTCAGGAGAATCACTTGAATCCAGGAGGTAGAGGTTGTAGTGAGCCAAGATCATGCTATTGCACTCTAGCCGGGGCAACAGAGCAAGACTGTCTCAAAAAAAGCAAATGAACAAATGAACAAAAACAGCTCCCTGTAATCCTAGCACTTTGGGAGGCTGAGGCAGGCACATCACGAGGTCAGGAGATTGAGACCATCCTGGCCAACATGGTGAAACCTCATCTCTACTAAAATATAAAAAATTAGTCTGGCATGGTGGCGCATACCTGTAGTCCCAGCTACTCAGGAGGCTGAGGAAGGAGAACTGCTTGATCTCTGGAGGCAGGGGTTGCAGTGAGCCAAGATCGTGCCACTGTGCTCCAGCCTGGTGACAGAGCAAGACTCCGTCTCAAAAAACAAAAACAAAACAAAACAAAAACAGCTCTTGGATTCATTGGTTTTTTTGAAGGGTTTTTCATGTCTCTGTTTCCTTCAGTTATGCTCTGATCTTAGTTATTTCTTATCTTCTGCTAGCTTTGAATTTGTTTGTTTTTGCTCCTCTAGTTCTTTTTTTTTTTTTTTTTTTTTTGAGACGGAGTCTCGCTCTTGTTACCCAGGCTGGAGTGCAATGGCGCCATCTCGGCTCACCGCAACCTCCACCTCCTGGGTTCAGGCAATTCTCCTGCCTCAGCCGCCTGAGTAGCTGGGATTACAGGCACGCGCCACCATGCCCAGTTAATTTTTTGTATTTTTAGTAGAGACGGGGTTTCACTATGTTGACCAGGATGGTCTCGATCTCTTGACCTCATGATCCACCCGCCTCAGCCTCCTAAAGTGCTGGGATTACAGGCTTGAGCCACCGCACCCAGCCCTCTAGTTCTTTTAATTGTGATAGGGTGTCAATTTGAGATCATTCCCCGCTTTCTCCTGTGGGCATTTAGTGCTATAAATTTCCCTCTAAACACTCCTTTTGCTGTGTCCCAGAGATTCTGGTACGTTGTGCCTTTGTTCTCATTGGCTTCAAAGCACTATTTATTTCTGCATTAATTTTGTTATTTACCCAGTAGTCATTCAGGAGCAGGCTGTTCAGTTTCCGTGTGGTTGTGTGGTTTTGAGTGGGTTTCCTTTTTTTTTTTTTTTTTGAGACAGAGTCTCACTCCATCACCAGGCACCAGGCTAGAGTGCAGTGGCGCGACCTCGGCTCACGGCAACCTCCGCCTCCCGGTTCAAGCAATTCTCCTGCCTCAGCCTCCCCAGTAGCTGGGACTACAGGTGCATGCAACCACGCCCAGCTAATTTTTTTGTATTTTTAGTAGAGACGGGGTTTCACCATGTTGGCCAGGATGGTCTCGATCTCTTGACCTCGTGATCCACCCACCTTGGCCTCCCAAAGTGTTGAGATTATAGGTGTGAGCCACCGCACCCAGCCTTTGAGTGACTTTCTTAATCCTGAGTTCTAATTTGATTCACTGTGGTCAGAGAGACTGTTTGTTATTACTTCCGTTCTTTTGCATTTGCTGAGGAGTGTTTTACTTCCAATTATGTGCTTAATTTTAGAATGAGTGCTTAGTGTTAATGTGCTACAAGTATCTCTTTCAGGAATCCTTACAAAAAAAGGACAAAGGGGAAGAAGAGAGGGACACTAGGGTGCAGTGAAGTGGCCTTCAGCAGCCACTGAAGGCTGGATTTTCAGGCTACGAGGCTTGGTGGTCATAGGGAGTATGGTTGGCCTGAGTAGGCTGCCCTCTGGGCTTGGTCCTATGCTGAAGGAGCCCTTGCTACCTGATGCCCAGCCTTGAAATAGAGCCTTATGGCCTCCACATCTTAAGCTTCATGGCCACCATGTCCTGGGCAACATAGTGAGACCTCATCTCTACTAAATATTTGCTTTTAATTAGCCGGTGTAGTGTAGCACACCTGTATTTGAGCCCAGGCGGTCAAGTCTGCAGTGAGCCTAATTTTTAGAGATAGGATCTTGCCCTGTCACTCAGGCTGCAGTGCAGTGTTGATAGAGCAAGACCCCATCTCTAAATTTTTTCCTTCTTTCTCTTTCTGTCTCTCTCTCTGTCTGGGCACTGTCAGGGCTCTGCAAAGCTCTGCTGGAAAAGCTTCAGATTCCAGGGTGGCCCTCTTAGGAAGTGGATGGGACTCCTTCAGGGTGCTTGTGGAGGGCTGATGCTGGAGCCAGACTTCACTAGACCTCATGTGTTGCTAGCCAAGTGGGTGACCATCTCTGTCCCTCCATCTAGAGAGAAGCAAGGCCACAGCCGTGGCCCTGGGCAGTTTCCCAGCAGGTGGCCAGGCCGAGCTGTCGCTGAGACTCGGGGAGCCATTGATCATTATCTCTGAGTAAGTCCATGGGCACTGGGTACCTGAATATGCACTAATAGAGCCGGGTGTGGTGGTGTGTGCCTGTAGTCCCAGCTGTTTGGAAGGCTGAGATGGGAAAATCGCTTGGGCTCAGGAGTTCAAGGCTGCAGTGAGCTATGATCAAGTTAGTGCACTCCAGCTTGGGTGACAGAGCAAGACTCTATCTCTAAAAATAAATGAATGGGCCAGGTGTGGTGGCTAATACCTATAATCCCAGAACTTTGGGAGGCTAAGGTGGGTGGATCATCTGAGGTCAGGAGTTCGAGACCAGCCTGGCCAACATGGTGAAACCCTGTCTTTACTTAAATAGATGGGCTTGGTGGCAGGCACCTGTAATCCCAACTACTCAGGAGGCTGAAGCATGAGAGTTGCTTGAACCCAGGAGCAGAGGTTGCAGCGAGCTGAAATCATACCATTATACTCTAGCCTGGGTGACAAGAGCAAAACTCTGTCTCAAAAAAAAAAAAAAAAAAAAAAAAATGTAGGCCCGGTGTGGTGGCTCATGCATGTAATCTAGCACTTTGGGAGGCCAAGGTGGGTGGATGACCTGAGATCAGGAGTTCAAGACCAGCCTGGCCATCACGGTAAAACCCCATCTTTATAAAAAAAAAAAAAAATTAATATAGGCTGGGTATGGTAGCTCACACCTATATCTCAGCCCTTTGGGAGGGTGAGGTGGGTGGATCATGAAGTCAAGAGTTCGAGACCAGCCTGGCCAGCATGGTGAAACTCTGCCTCTACTAAAAATACAAAAATTATCTGGGTGTGGTGGTGGGCACCTGTAGTCCCCGCTACTTGGGAGGCTGAGGCAGGAGAATTGCTTGAACCCAGGAGGCAGAGGTTGCAGTGAGCTGAGATCACGCCACTGCACTCCAGCCTGGTGACAGAGTGAGACTCCGTCTCAAAAAATAATAATAATAAGGCCAGGCGCGGTGGCTCAAGCCTGTAATCCCAGCACTTTGGGAGGCCGAGGTGGGTGGATCACGAGGTCAAGTGAAACCCCGTCTCTACTAAAAATACAAAACATTAGCTGGGCATGGTGGCGCGTGCCTGTAATCCCAGCTACTCAGGAGGCTGAGGCAGGAGAATTGCCTGAACCCAGGAGGCGGAGGTTGCGGTGAGCCGAGATGGCGCCATTGCACTCCAGCCCGGGTAACAAGAGCGAAACTCCGTCTCAGAGAAAAATAATAATAATAATAATAAAATAAATGAAGGAAGGAAAGAATGGCAATGCTCTCAAGGGAGAAGGGTCCCGCTTCCCCGTTAGAAAAGCTCAAGGCATTTGCTGAAATGCTCACAGAATCCCTGTGGTGGAGTTTCAGGTGGCTGGACATCCCCACAGGGAGAACCGTGGGTGGGCAGGGCCCTGTAGCAGGGAACCTGGAATCATGCCATCTACCACCAGCCCCAGCTCTGGCCCAGGGAATCATGCCATCTACCACCAGCCCCAGCTCTGGCCCAGGAGGTACCTGGACAAGCTAGTGTAGGGATGCCTGGGAAACAGGTGGGACAGACAGCTGCAGGATCCAGCCTGAGAGGGTCCCTGCAAACCCAGAATGTGCAGTTTTTGGGGCTTTGGCTAGTCTGAAAGAGGTACCCCTACTCCTTTCTTTCTCCAGGGATGGAGACTGGTGGACGGTGCTGTCTGAAGTCTCAGGCAGAGAGTACAACATCCCCAGTGTTCACGTGGCAAAAGTCTCCCATGGGTGAGTTCCCACCTCAGGCCCACATTGCAGGAGTTTCCTGCTTTTTCTTCCCACAAGCACTCCCCTTCATGTGCGTCTTTGTGCTGAGCAAAGCTGAGGGTAGAGGAGAAGCCCAGGCCCTGCCCTCAGGAGGAACAGACAGCTCATTCTAGCATAGGTTGGCCTGTGAGACGTGGGAGCCAGAGGAGGGGTTTGGGAAGGCCTATAGAGGAGGTGTGGAGCTCTGAGCTTTGGAGGGTGGCCAGGATCTAGTGGTGGAAAACGCTGAAAGGGCCATGTGGGAGATGGGAGCACACCACGTAAGGGGCTGGTGCAGTGGTATGTGCCTGTAGCCCCAGCTTCTAGGGAGGCTGAGGGGGAAGGATCACCTGAGTCTAGATGGTCAAGACTACAGTGAGCCGTGATTGTGCCACTGCTCTCCAGTCTAGGCCACAGAGCAGGAGCCTGTCTCAATAAAAAGAAAAAACAGGGCCGGGCATGGTGGCTCAAGCCTGTAATCCCAGCACTTTGGGAGGCCGAGGCGGGTGGATCACAAGGTCAAGAGATCGAGACCATCCTGGTCAACATGGTGAAACCCCATCTCTACTAAAAATACAAAACATTAGCTGGGCATGGTGGCAGGTGCCTGTAATCCCAGCTACTCAGGAGGTTGAGGCAGGAGAATTGCCTGAAGCCAGGAGGTAGAGGTTGCGGTGGGCTGAGATCGCGCCATTGCACTCCAGCCTGGGTAACAAGAGCGAAACTCCGTCTCAAAAAAAAAAAAAAAAAAAAAGGTAAAAACAGAGAGGCAGTGCTTGGAAAGGTGAGGCTTAGAAAGGTTAGTGGATAGAATCAGGGTGCTGGGGGGACTGAGTAGGGATAGCACAGAGATTGAGGTCACCCCAGGTTACTTGGGACTGAGGTCTCCAGGCAGAGAAAGCTGGGGCTGTTTCCATGAATTTGTCCTCCCAGGGCCCTGGCGCCAGAACTAGGAGGACAAAGATGGTGTGGACCTCAGATCCCAAGGCCAGCTGTTCATGGAACAACAGGACTTTGAGGCCCAGAAAGGGAGGGCCTTGTGAGGGTCACTCAGAGGCGGTAGTAAAATCTTGGCTTTCCTCTTCCTCCAGGCTGACCCTGTCCCTTGTCCCTCTCTCTTGCTCCTCCAGGTGGCTGTATGAGGGCCTGAGTAGGGAGAAAGCTGAGGAACTGTTATTGTTACCTGGGAACCCTGGAGGGGCCTTCCTCATTCGAGAGAGCCAGACCAGGAGAGGTGGGTAAGCTCAGCGTCAGCCCAGGCCCTTCCTGCGTGGAAGTCTCAGAAAGGAGCCCACAGACATATGGCTGCAGGTGCAGCCCAGAAAATAAGCTTTGCTGTCAAGGCATGGTGGCTTATGCTTGTAATCCCAGCACTTTGGGAGGCACAGGTGGGCGGACCACAAGGTCAGGAGTTTGAGACCAGCCTGGCCAATATGGTGAAATACAAAAATTAGCTGGGCATGGTGGCGGGCACCTGTAATCCCAGCTACTCAGGAGGCTAAGGCAGGAGAATTGCTTGAATCAGGGAGGCGGAGATTGTGGTGAGCTGAGATTGTGCCACTCAACAGAGTGGGCCACAGAGTGAGACTCTGTCTCAAAAAAAAAAAAAAAAAAAAAAAAAAAACGAAAAGAAAATAGGCTTTGCCTGACTCCTCAGTCGGTCACCCAAGATTTCCTGAGCCCCAGCTCCGTCCCTGCCCATATGAGCCATTTGGGGCCCAGGCTGGGAGAGATGGAGACAAGCCATGAAAGCAGAGGAGAGGCAGCTAACTTTGGGGCAATCAAGGGAGGCTTCAGAGAGGAGTGGACCATGAATGGAAACTTAAGAATGCTCCCACAGGGCTGGGCACGGTGGCTCAAGCCTGTAATCCCAGCACTTTGGGAGGCCGAGGCGGGTGGATCGCGAGGTCAAGAGATCGAGACCATCCTGGTCAACATGGTGAAACCCCGTCTCTACTAAAAATACAAAAAATTAGCTGGGCATGGTGGCACGTGCCTGTAATCCCAGCTACTCAGGAGGTTGAGGCAGGAGAATTGCCTGAACCCAGGAAGTGGAGGTTGCGGTGAGCCGAGATCGCACCATTGCACTCCAGCCTGGGTAACAAGAGCGAAACTCCGTCTCAAAAAAAAAAAAAAAAAAAAAAAAAAAAGAATGCTCCCACAGGATCCCAGGCAACAAGACACAGTGGTGCTGGGGTGGACCAGGGGGCTGCACCTCAGAACAAAAGGAGGTTAGAAGTGAGCAAGGCTCCAGCACAGAGGCCTTGGATGCCGGACTAAGAAGCTTGGGTTTTCTCCCAAGGCAGTGGGAGTTGCTATTCAGCAGAGACACAGTGCTGGGTGTGTGTTCTGGGGGAAGCAAGAGGATGCATTACCGTGACTCTCTGAGTGTGTTCTGCGGGCCACTTGCTTAGAGATAGAGAGGGTGGGGCGGTCAGTTTAGGGGACACTGAAAATCATATCCTTCTCTGAGAGGTTGGTAATCTGTGTTAATGTAAGACCTCAGCTTTGTGCAGTGGCAGTATCGTAGCCCATGAGGTTTATCCGAGGTGTTATTATTGTTAATTGAAAACTTTTCCCAATACCCCGCCGTGACAACTTGCAATATAGTCGGCATTGGCAATTTTTGACAGTCTCTGTGGAGACTGGAAAAAAAAAAAACAAAACATAAGACTTCACAGGGCATTGCCTTTGCCTAACTGAGCATTTCCCAAGTGCTTCTGAAAACAGGAGCATTTCTTCCCGCAGCACCTGTAATATTCACTCCATGTTCATTCATTCAGTAAATGCTTCTCAAGCACCTACAATGTGGGGAGGCTGCAGGAAATGACAGAACCTACTGTATGTGCCAGGTCTTAGGCATCTCTGGTGAGCGAGGTGGGCATTGTCCTGCTCTCAGGGAGCTCCCAGGTTACTGGAAGCCAGTGTTCCATGGCACAGAGTTTGGGAAACATACCTCTATTTGAGATTCTCAGTCATGCCAGGGCTTGTCCCTCAAATGCCGAGAGTATGATGGGACTTGAGGGTAGGGCAGAGGCCAGATGTGAAGGGCTGGAGTTCCTAGCCTTGGTGTTGAGCAGTCTAGCTGTTATCTGCCATGTTGCTGCCACGAGAGCCTATAAGCAATAGAATGAAAAATCTCCATTTCTGAAAATGAATATAGGCTGGGCATCGTGGCTCACACCTATAATCCTGGGACTTTGGGAGGCTGAGGTAGGAGGATCACTTGTGCCCAGGAATTTGAGACCCAGCCTAGGCAACATAATGACACCACTTCTCTACAAAAAAGTTTAAAATTTAGTGAGGCATGGTGGGTGGTGTGTGCCTGTAGCCTGAGCTACTTGGGAGGCTGAGGCGGGAGGATCACTTGAGCCCAGGAGTTCCAGGTTGCAGTGAGCCATGACTGCATCACTGCACTCCAGCCTGGGCAACAAGCCAGACTCCATCTCCATAAAATAAAAGTGGTCTCAGGTACCTTGTTACAGAGGCAAAAAAGAGAAAAAATAAAAGTGAATGCGAATGGCCCACAGTAGGGATCAAGGCTCAGCCAACACATTGGCAACTAGGATTTGTAAAAGAGTATAGTCACAGAATTTCCCTACACTGACCAACAGTGATTGCTCCCTCTCAAAGACACATGATTCTGATCTCTTGGCAAAACGTTGAAATGATGACAGGATCTCTTGGGTCAGTAGCCAGTCAGAGCTAGAAACCCATTGGAAATCATCTTCTGGATCCTCCTCTTCCCATTGTACAGACTGAAAAACAGAGGCCCAAGAGGGGTCAGGATGTGCCACATCGCACATGCATGTGGGACTTCTCCCACCCCAGGTGCTAGATGCTCTGAGCTGCTGCCCCTGCCCTGAATCCCTTAAGACAGTCATGTTGGCATGAGGCATTCATGTTGGCACTGCAAGCACAGCCACAGACCAGGGAAGGAGGTATCAGGAGCAGACAGACCTCCTGGCACCTGCCTTGATATAAACCAACTGTGACAGGTTGTGGAGACCTTTGTTCTCTGCCTCAGTCTCTCTCCTAGGGCCCTCTCCAGCTTCTTTGCCTCTCCTCCTCTGCCCTTGGTTGTTCCTAGGTTGACCTCTCCAAGGCCCCTCCTGCTCTTTTCTAGGCAGCATCAGCACCCCCACCTCACATACACCCATAGGCTGGTAGTGGGGCTGGGGAGACCAGCCCAGCACAACAGCTGCAAACAGGAAACCACAGCAGCAGTGCAGAATGGAGCAGGGCCCCACTGCAGACTGTCCCTGGGAGCTCGAGAAGCCACAGGAAGTGCTTACTGCTCAGCTGCCCCACCCCTGGCCCATTCTCTGACCTGGTTTAGCCCCAAGAGTATAGTGGCCGGCTCTTATGGCCACTCTGCCCCTTACCTAAGAAGGCACAGATACAAGGAGAAAACTGTGTGAGTGACAGAGGAGAAAGCTTTAAGGATCCATGAAGTTTTGTTTGTTTGTTTTTTTGAGACAGAGTCTCACTGTGTCACCCAGGCTGGAGTGAAGTGGCACATTTTGGCTCACTGCAACCTCCACCTCCTGGGTTCAGGTGATTCTTATGCCTCAGCCTCCCTGGTAGCTGGGATCACAGGTACATGCTACCACACCCAGGTAATTATTATTATAATTTTTTTCTGAGACAGAGTCTTGCTCTGTCACCCAGGCTGGAGTGTAGTGGCGCAATCTCAGCTCACTGCAACCTCCACCTCCTGGGTTCAAGCGATTCTCCTACCTCAGCCTCCTGAGTAGCTAGGATTACAGGCATGTGCCACCATGCCCAGCTAATTTTTGTATTTTTTATAGAGATTAGGTTTCACCATGTTGGCCAGGCTAGTCTTGAACTCCTGACCTCAGGTGATCCACCCACCTTAGCCTCCCAAACTACTGGGATTACAGGCATGAGCCACTGCACCAGGCTATTTTTTTTTTTTTTTTTTTTTTGTATTTTTAGTTGAAACGGGGTTTTGCTGTGTTGCCCAGGCTGGTTTTGAACTCCTGAGCTCAGAAAATCTGCCTGCCTTGACCTCCCAAAGTGCTAGGATTACAGGCACGAGCCACCTCACCCAGCAAGATCCATGAAGATCTTTAAGGACCCATAAGATCCTCATAAGGCTGGGCGCGGTGACTCATGCCTGTAATCCCTGTGCTTTTGGAGGCCGAGGTGAGTGGATCACCTTGGGTCAGGAGTTTGGGACTAGCCTGGCCAACATGGCGAAACCCCATCTCTACTAAAAATACAAAAAAATTAGCCAGGCGTGGTGGCAGGTGCCTGTAATCCAGCTACTCGGGAGGCCGAGACAGGAGAATTGCTTGAACCTGGGAGGCAGATGTTGCAGTGTGCCAAGATTGCACCACTACACTCCAGCCTGGGTGACAGAGCAAGACTCCATCTCTAAAAAACAAAAAAGATCCACATGATTACTGGGACTAAAGTCCCCAGATCGCCATAGCCAGCTCCAAAAGGGGATGGATCAGAATGCAGCTCTTGTTATCAAAGAGGAAGATGAAAAATGTTAGCGGGGGAGAAAAAAGTAAAGAAGAAATTTGCCAATGCTCCAGGAAAGGTAAAGTTTTCCTGGCCAATGTGTGGGTCAGGAAATCAGTTTAGGGGCCAGGTACAGTGTCTCACACTTGTAATCCCAGCACGTTGTAAGCCCAAGGCAGGAGGATTGCTTGGGCTCAGGAGTTCAAGACCAGCCTGGGCAACAAAGGGAGACCCCCCCCCCCCCCCCGATCTCTTAAAAAAAACAAATTTGGCCAGGCACACTGGCTCACGCCTGTAATCCCAGCACTTTGGGAGGCTGAGGCAGGCAGATCATGAGGTCAGGAGATGAGACCAGCCTGGCCAACATGGTGAAACCCCATCTCCACTAAAAATACAAAAATTGCGGCTGGGCGCGGTGGCTCATGCCTGTAATCCCAGCACTTTGGGAGGCTGAGGCGGGTGGATCACGAGGTCAAGAGATCGAGACCATCCTGGTCAACATGGTGAAACCCCGTCTCTACCAAAAATACAAAAAATTAGCTGGGCATGGTGGTGTGTGCCTGTAATCCCAGCTACTCGGGAGGCTGAGGCAGGAGAATTGCCTGAACCCGGGAGGCGGAGGTTGCGGTGAGCCGAGATCGCGCCATTGCACTCCAGCCTGGATAACAAGAGCGAAACTCTGTCTCAAATAAAATAAAATAAAATAAAATAAAAAATAAAAATACAAATACAAAAATTAGC